ATCAACGGTCAACAAAGAGATATGACGTTTCTGTTTATAGAAAATGAATTATTTATTAAGGCGCAACACAGTAACAACCAAGGCAAACAGTGAAGAACAACAAATCGACAATCGGAAAGTTGGCTTCCTCTTACTCACCGATAGCATCGACATCCTCTTCCGACTTGGCTCCAATTAGATTTCTTTCTAACTGGAAATGTTTAAATGGGGAATTCTTTTGCATTTCAATTGTGTTTCAATTTCATTAGCTAACCGCCTTTTTTGATTAATTAATGAGCGACATAATACGTTTTTTTAAAAGTATCAAACAAATAAAACAAACAAAAAGACGAGCCATTGATATGTATTTTTAAAAATACCTACAAATCATTTATTGGTTCTATGACTTCTTGTCCTCAAAGTTTATATAAAAGGAAACCTGATATGTGTATGAACACAGTAGCTCTTATCTAACTGCCAGTGATATTTTTATATGGTTTGGCTGTTGTATTCATTAATTTAAATTTTCTTGTGTACTATTAATTTGGAATCAATTCGTGCCTAAGACTTTGTTATCTAAGTTGAAACCACTATCATAATTCCCAAATCAATTGGGTGTGTCAGCAAACTGAAACGAAGATCAAGTGATCGATCAGCAATTAAAGGTACCAGAAAAAAAATGATCCCAAAGATAAGATACGTTTTAGTATCAAGGCAAATAATTTAAGATTAATCAAAAAAAATTCTCGTTCAGATGGCCGCCCCAGCACCAGCACTCAAGGATCTGCCCAAGGTGGCCGAGAACCTAAAAAGCCAGTTGGAGGGATTCAACCAGGACAAGCTGAAGAACGCCAGCACCCAGGAGAAGATCATTCTTCCCACCGCCGAAGGTGAGTTGGCTATTGGTGAAAGGCCGAAACCATGAAAACCGAAATCTAATCCCCCGGCTCACAGATGTGGCTGCCGAGAAGACCCAGCAGTCGATCTTCGAGGGCATCACCGCTTTCAATCAGAACAACTTGAAGCACACGGAGACCAACGAGAAGAACCCGTTGCCCGATAAGGAAGGTGCGTTCGTTGTAGGCCATCTAGTATGTGGCATATACATATTATGGTCTGGCCATAAAAGGCAGGCTGCCTTAGATGGCCAATGCAGGCTCTATAATTGTGTTGTTATTTCTCCATTTCTCAACCTCTCAACTCAAATTGCAGCCATCGAGCAGGAGAAGGAGAAGAATCAGTTCATCGCCGGCATCGAGAACTTTGATGCGAAAAAGTTGAAGCACACCGAGACCAACGAGAAGAACGTGCTGCCCACCAAGGAGGTGATCGAGGCCGAGAAGCAGGCTTAAAATGGGGGCTCCAATGTGGTCCACTCCGATCCGAGATCTGAGATCCGATCCTCAGTCACCCCATCTCTCTTTTTCGACTCGCCGCATCTCACTCTTTATACGTATAAAGCTATTCCCTCTCATTTTTCAACTGCTACCAAGTTATTCGAACCGCTGCGCATGCGCGTGATAGCAAAAGTATTTTACTATTATCGTATTTCGGTTGTCCTTTTTTTTTTTGCAATATTTTTATATATATATATTTTTTTGTATTAACAAGCAAGAGAGCCAGTCTCATTCCTACAGCGTAATTAACATAAAATAAACATTCGTCTATCCCATATATTTGTGCATAAATGTTTCCAAAACACACGACACACACATCATCAGAGGAAAGATAAAACGCAGATACAAAGCAATACGACAGCCAACTCACTCAGAACATTTACACAAAAAAAAGACAGCAAATATATGAGAAATACTTTTTAAAAGACACGAAAAACGTATGAAGCGTATAAAACAGAAAAACAAAAAGAAATACGGTAGAAAGCATCTATATAAAGAGTATGTGTAATTTTTTAATGAACTTTTTTTTATATACTTTACATACGATATATTTATACTGGGAAAAATAAAAACATAAATGTAACATTTTATAACAAAAACGTACTAAATCTGCACTGGCTTTTGCTTTCTTTGGGGCGGAAAACCTCTGAAATAATACAAAATGGCTGAAATAGCCCAATTCATGATTATATGTATATTTTGATTCGTAGTAATTATACAACTGGTCCGCTTAAATGCTAGATTTCGTAGCTACTCCCGATAAACACTAACTTCTGGTGGCCACCTCTTCGGTGTCCATAGGGACACCAACAGCACCACTGCCAGAGGATGTGAGCTCCGGGGCGGCGCTCTCGCCCGAGGAATCGGCTTCGACCTCACCACTCTTGCCGGCCTCAGCGTCTGCTGCAGCGGCAGCCGCCACTCTCGCGTCCTCGTACTTGTTGGTCTCAAACTTGCTGAGATCAGCGCCCAGCAGACGCAGAATGTGGATGGTCTCGTCCTTGTGGACATAGGCGCGCAGACTGGAGGTGCCGCGCCAGCCCACCGTGTACAACGTGAACCGCTCGTCCACGTACTTGAGGATGCAGCTACCCACGCCTGAAATAGAGTACCATTAGCCAACCGTCAGAACATAAGAACCGGCCAAACTTACCCAATTCCTTACAACGCTCCTGGGTTTCCTTCTTCAGTTCGTGAGTCGACGGTGGCTGCGTGGGATCAGTGCAATTGAGCATCATCACCAGGTCCTCGCGCTCCACCTGGATTCTCCTGTTAGCGCCCATGAAGGCATTGGAGGTCTGGAGACCCTCCTGGGCCAATCGGAAGGGATGCACCGTGTGCCGGTTCTCGCAGCGCACGAATGTCTTAACGCCCGTGTTAATGATCTTGATGTTGTTTTCGTTGTTAAGCACCAAATCGCGGATGGGGTCGGAGCAGTAATAGATGTTCTTCTTTTTCTCCGTGATGCAGCGAGTCAAGAGGCATCGTTGGCTAAGGGATTCGTCCAGCTGGTAGAACTCCTTGATAGCCTCGTAGTCAGGATCTTTCTCGCCGAAGAACACATAAGGATCTTCCTTGTAGCCATGCAGACGTCGCTTTTTCCTTTGCGGTCCCCACGGGACGGACTTCTCCTCGATGGGCTTGCCCTCCTCATCCAATTGCGGATCAGCTGGAGGCTGCTTGGCCTTCTCGTTCAGCTGCACAAGCTCCACCACATCGTTCTTTTCGAAACTTAGCTGACGGCGCTTCTCCAATACGGCTACAAAGAAGCCACCGCTGTCCTGGAGATGCGGCAACACCCGCAGGCACTTGTCCAGCCCGATCTTGGCCATCTCGTCGGCTGGCAGCGGGAACATACCGGGCCGTATGATGGTGTGCAGGCTTTCAGGCACCTCATCGAAGCGGGTAAAGATCTGGTCCACCTCCTTGGTGGCCAGCTTCCAGTCAGTCATGCCTGGCTTGTACTTAAGACCTGGCACCAAGTGCCCCGCATCTACCAGCTCTAAGGCACCGTCAGCCTCTTTGATAATGCGCTGCAGCACCGCCTCGTTCTCGATGGGATTAAGTGAGCAGGTGGAGTACACCAGACGACCGCCAACCTCTAGCATCTCAGCACCACGGCGCACGATCCGGTATTGGATGCCGTGGAGATTGTAGGCCTGTGCCAAGTTCCACTTGAGCCAAATGTCTGGATTCTTGCGCAGTGTGCCGTCGCCGGAGCAAGGTACATCGCAAAGGATCTTATCAAACTTAAGGATCGCCTTTGAGCCGTCAGGCTTTGTGGTCAGGAGATTGGGAAAGACACTGCTGTCGTGATTGGTCACCAACAGGCAGGGCGAGTTAAGGCGCTTGGCCTGGTGAACCAGCATGTAGCAGCGGTTGTTGTCCACATCGTTGGCGAGTACGAAACCGGGCGGAATCTTGTGTTCCTCGGGAGCAGCGTGAAGAGCTTCTATGAGCTGGGCTGTCTTCGAACCTGGCGCGGCACACATGTCCAGAACTTTGTCCGTGGGTCGTACATCCAGGACAATCGGCGGGATCATAGATACCGCCTCCTGCCGGCTGATTCCACCCGCTGTGGTCTCCACAATAAGGAAGTTGTGCAGCCGGTAGAGCGGCTCCGAGCGTCGAATGTCCTTTCGGGTGAGGTGAAGCTGGTAGGCCAGCCCGTTTGGATACCAGGGCAGGCAAAGCGGACGTTCCACATCCTCGGGCGCCTTCTGGTGCAGCTCAGCCACCGCCCTCACATACTCGGTGAATAGCTGCGTCTCAATAATGGAAAGCAAGGCCTTGGCCTCGTCCTTGAATCCTGTCACACGGAAAGTAGTGGGCAGGTTGTCCCTGATGGATTCGAGAAACTGCGACCATTCCTCTTCGCTGGCGCAGATCTTCTGTAGGTGGTAATACTTAATGAAGAATGCATTATCCCTTTTGATCTCCTCGTAAGGCAGGGCACGACGATCGGGGCGCTCCGGACCCTTTAAAATATAAAATATTACATACATCATAATAAAATCCAAAAACGTGGAGTGTTACTCCTTTCGAATTGAGGTGACTTACGTTCTCGCGCTTTTGACGTTTGCGTGCCGCAAAGGGATTTTGTTTCTTATTTCGACCCATTTATCAATATCAATATTAAATCAACCGAATAAGTTAAAAAAAAAATCAAGCAAGCGTTTATATATTTTCTAAACGAAACCAATAAATAAAACGTGTTCGCCGGCTAACTGGCAACACTGATGGGCAAGCGTGGCCGGACTGTTGGAGATCGGCAGGGAAGATGAAATATGGTTTTAAAAAATATTAAACACCTCGGGATTTACTTTTTCCTTCCGTACCATACAGTTGGTGCATACACTTGACTTATTTTGGAAGTTTAATTTCAACCGCATGGATGAAGTTTTTAGCGCCAAAATCTTTCAGCGCTGCCATCTAAAAATTGTTTTCCTAACTATCGATAAAGTCAAGCAACTTATTCGTTTTCTAAAAACCTGAATTACCTGTTGTTTTATATAAATAAAACTACAAATGTTGTACAATGCAAGCATAATATATATTTTTTTTAAGAACCTTACCATTAAAACAAAAATAATAACCAGATTTTACATGAATAGTTATGAGTTAATCAGTATTAAAAATCCCTGTTAGCTGACTTCGATACCGATAGCTTTAATCGAATCCAAATTTCCCACATTTAAAACTATGAAATTTTTGTAAGTTATCATGGAGACGCCACCAACGCCCACCACGACCACCCCGTCATCATCGACAACTGAGGGCACCATGGACGACATCCAGTACCTGCTGCACCTAGAGGCGATTCGCCGTTTCCAGGAAGACAGCCGCAATGTAAAGCGCCAGATGGAGGAGCAACTGCACATTTGGCTTGACACCAAGTGTGAGTATCAGCGGGAATTTGGGCGGATGGCGAGGATCCTTAGGTGCGGAGCGTTGCAAGCGGCCGTGGATGCCCATCGTGGATCTGATGTCAAACAAATTGAGCAGGCGGCCAAAGATATCGCTAGTCTGCTATCCAAACTAAGCAATGATCTGCGTCCCGCTATTTTGGACTCTAACGATGTGGAGCACGGCCTGGATCAGCTGAACAGCAGCCACAAACCGCGCTTAAATCTCTGCCGGCAGCAACGAGAGTGCGCCCAGAACCAGGAAGCTCTAAGGAGTTTGCGTACCGCAGTCGATGGTTTAGAGAATGGTATGGAAATGGGCATGGCACAGGCAATAAATCGCCTTGTGGAGGACCTCCTCCCACCGCGGGAAAAAGAACAACTACCCGGTCGTCTCAAAAGTATATTTGATTGTGCGATATAAACTAGTTTATAATAATAAAAACAGAGACTTGCGAATGAAAACTATGAGCTACATACAACGATGGCAGGTCCATCCGGTGAAGAGTATTAGTAGCGACAATCTGGAACACAGATTTAATACTGGTTAATCGCAGTTCTTTAGGGAGATTAAGGGAGATTACCATTTAGAGCGCTTGGACCAGTCTTTTGGAGTCCAGTGTAGGCATTTTGAGTCAATGCGGATCTTGCGTTTGTCCATTGCGCGACGGTGCTGCTCGATGGTATCCCGGTTGATGCACACGATGTACTGGCCCTTGTAGTAGTTGATCAGGTTCAGGTTTTGCAGCGTTGAGATCACGTCCTCTTTTTTGATGGATGTGCATTCACAGATGTCGCTGTTAAGTAAAAAAGTTTTAAAAACATGCGCTGTAATCTATGATGCTACAATGAAGCACAATCGCACAATCTGGATTGAAAACTCGTTACTATAAGCTTATAACTAGTCATACTTTATTGTTATTGTGGGCTTCTCGCCGTCCGTGCTCGGGTTTTGACTGATAAATATCTCCAGTATGGTTTGCGCCCAGTACGATCGATACGAAAGCAAACCCAGATCAGACAATGGTTTCTCCGGCGATCCCGTTTTACCCTCAAACTTGGACAACTCGTAGCTGAACTCAATGAGCAGCTTGCCGTAGCCCTTGCGCTGATATGGAGGCATTGTAAGAATGCAGGCTACGTTGTAGTCCTCGGTACTTTCCTTTTCCTTGGAGAAGTACCCTACTATGTGGAAGCCGCGCGAGTCGAACTCGGTCATTACGTAGAAGAGAAACGGATCTGTATCATAGTAAAGTGTCTTGTGGTCGAGAAAGAGTTTGGCAAGCAGGCACAAGTTCTGGGCATACACCTTATTTTTGCGGCCGTCGATTTCAAAGAAAGATATTGTGTGTTTGCGGTAGATCTCGTTCCCCGGAGGATGCCTAAGATTGCACTTGGAGAGGTGCCTCTCCAGGCATTTCCTGCTCTTCCTGTACTTCAGGCAGAACTCGCAAATGTAGATGCAGGGCATTTGGCACAGCTCTTGCGGATAGGGCGAGAAATACCAGGGCTTAATGCGATGTCTACCCAGCTCAATCATCTCCACGTTCTTCATGCGGGTTACCACGTCGTCCTGGTGCGTAACCATACTGCCTGATTGCCTTGGCGTGGGCGTCTTACCATCTTGCGATCCATCACCATCCTCATTGGCCGCGCCGCTTATCAAACCATCGCCGGTCACATGCACGGGCGTAGTCGTGGGTGTCTGTGGAGTGGTAGGATGCGGATGTGACTGCTGCTGTTGACTCGATAGGCTGTGGTGTCCATGGGCCGAGCCTCCGTGGACTTTTCGTTTGCGATTAATGCGCTTCTGAAGGGCTGCAGCCAAATTATTGCCATTCACAAGCTCTCCCACACTGCTGGGTGTTCCGGGAGGAGCCACAGAGCTGGGAATGCCTGCAAGGGGAGGAACACTGCCTGATGCACCAGTGGGAGTCGAGGCGATGGCTGTCAGAACACCGGAACCAGGATGTTGCGGCGATGTAGGCCGAGAAACGCTGCCCGCCAGGGAATGGTGGCGCTGGGGTGTGGTCACTCCGGTGCTGGTTCCTGTTTGGGAACCGTCCCGCCGCGGAAATTGCACCTTTCGCGTATACAGATCCTCCTCGTTGACCCATTCGTCCAAGCGCTTGTTGACTGCGAATTGGCGCTTATAATACAAATGTTCTCACTGAACGACCCCGGTACTCACAGTCCACATAGTGCACATAAAACTGCCGGCGCCCATCCAGCTCTTTGATGCTCACAATCTCCGCCAGCGGCCAGTCGTCCGTTTTGTGCATCCTGACGGGCAAACGACATCCCTCGGTAAGGGCGGCCTGCAAGTTTGCGGTTTAAGACCTTTAGATCGAACACGAAAAACACTACAAAGCGTTGTCAAACCCACCGTTGACTCGCAAATGGAGGCCACATCGTCGTCGAACTCATATTTGTGGTTAATTTTCATTTGTTTATATTTTATGCTTTTTTTTTCGCCCTAAAACAGCAGCGTTGCCAGATGGCGAAACGCCTAGAACTATCGACAAATCGATTAACGCCACAGTGACATCAGCGGTTTAAAAATATCGATGACATGGGCAGTGCTGCGCAGCGTCGCGTCGCCTTTTCTAAGTGCTGCACAACACAACAACTATTCCAAAGAGTTCTTCGGTTCGCGTTCGGTATTTTTTCTCATGTGCCTACTGTGCAATTAAACAATTTCGCCCGCTTATTTGACAGATAATAAACAATCGTTCGACTCAGTTGGAGTTTATAGAACTTGAGTGCGTGGCTATGTGCTCCCTTCTTTTCAGTTGCTAAACCAAAAAAGAAAAACGCTGAGAAGGTCAGAGAAATGTACACAGGCGCATACCTGCGCCCGTGTGTGTGTGTGTGTGCGTGCATCCGTGTGTGCGTGCATCCGTGTGTGCTCGTGTGAGTGCGCAGAAAGTTATACAGCTGTCATCGACTGGCTTATTTATCAATAAATAACTACTGTGATCAGCGGAAAACTTCGGTTACTGGGTAATTGCGACTACAACTGCGTGCAATTGTGCGGCAGTGACCAAATGCTGTCGAGCTGAGCGGGGAATTGCTGAAAAAGCTGGGCAAAATGACGTGTTTTGCGCTAGTGTTGCCACTGACAACAGCCGCAGGGCTGCCAACTCGATGGGCATTTTCCTAAATAGCCTCTTTGGTGATACTAATTAGTTGGTAAATGGGCATGCAATATCGTGTTGATTAGTAGATGGAAGCCTAGAGAAAAGGCCGATTTACCAACCTCAACGGATTGCCCCTAAACAATAAACAGCATTTGACAACCCTGACATGCAGTGCAGTTGGCAACACTGTTTGATAGCCAAAAAAAAAAAGAAAATATGGAAAAAGACCAGTGCTTTTTAAAGAAATTCGAAGTTAGTGGGCCGCAAAGGGTCGCCGAAGACTAAACAGCACATGTCACCACCCACCGCCCCTTGCCGCATGTTCGCATAAGCACAACAACAACAAATGCTTCAAACACCCAGTCAGTGGGCCAATGTCTCGGTTTCAGTTTTGTCTCACCTTCATCCCCATTTCCCAATCAATTGCAGAGATCCGTGCGCACACATTTCCGTATTCCGCTTTGCTTGCGAGCAATTCGCATCTCCTTGCGTAAATGCCGCGGACGAAGGTTTGAGCCGGAGGAGAACTACTGACGACAGACCTGTCAAGTGCAGCAGGAGTCCCGAGTGATAAGCAATAGGTGGGATCCCTCAGTAGTTCACACCGTCTGGAAGTCGGGAGGAAGCGACAGAAAACGGCCGCACAGCCGGAAGAACACTTGCAGTCGCTGTGGCGATCCCGCGGCGGCTGGGCAGCTGGGCTACCTAGAAAAATCGCGAAGAGAAGAAACAGCTTGTAAGCAGTGGCTAGGAACTCTAGATATACCCGTTTACTAAAACAAACTTCCCCAACAGATTCGAGGAATTCGAATGGCATTTGTTTTTTTCGTTCGTTGCATGCCACCAAACGAAAGAAGATGAACAATGAACAAACGCCGTCATCATCAGACACACCGGCGGATCGTGTGGGATCTGGTGGAGCAGCTGCCAAACTGCCAACGATCATACCGGACACGCCCATCGTCTCGATTGCCGCTGGCACGATGAGCGAGAGCACCACGACGACCACCGCCACCAAGACGACGCCGACGCCGTTTCCACAGGAGCAGCTCATGACCATGATGTCGGACCATGTGGCCAAGGTGGACGCGCATCTTGACGAGGCCTGCAGGAACCAGGGGGCCAGAGACGACGACAGCCAAGGAGCGGTAGCAGTGGTTGCCAACCATGTAGCCACCAGCGGTAGTAACAGCACAGCCGGTGACCCCAAGAAGTCATCATCCCCTAGTAATAGCCATACCACTGGTAACCACGCCGCAACCGCAGAGGCTACTAAAGGCTCTACAGCAACAGGAGATTCGCCCTTCTCGCAGGTCTTTGCCATGCTGAAGGATTCGCCCAGTGCTGAACTGTCGCGACCAAACCGCAGAGTCCTCCAGTACGGGACCACTGCCAAGGGCAAGACCCAGGATGATCAGAATGTCGGCAAGCGACAGAAGAAGAAAAAGGTAAGTGCGTTCAGGCAAAGTTGCAACTTAACGTGGAAATATAGCGTATTTTTAAAAGAAACTCAGTTAAGATATTCTTTTATGAGGAGTATATATTTATTATTCGCAAAAATTCACATTTGAGTACGTTCTGGAATGCTGAAACTCTATAGAGTTCTGAGTATCAAATCTATACATGAATGACCAGTATTGAATAGAGTAGCTCAGTTTAGAAACGATTTCAAAAAATTGAAAACTTATTTTGATTTTGAAAGTATTGCACAATTTTCTGTTAGGCATGAAATCCGATTTCCATTTTAAACCAAGGTGGGTTCTAGACATTTCAAACTAGATATCAATATTGTTTATTTGTCCCCAAAACTATAAAGTGAAATAGATACTTACGGTTGCAGCTGATTAACGTTGTTTGAAAATACATTTTTTGACTAAGAAAATGTCGCAAAATTATCTTAAAATATGAATTTTGGTTAAGTTAAGTTAAGATTATCGAATGATTATCAAGCACGCTTATGTACAAGTGCCAGAATGCTTAACTTTGATGGCAAAGAAAAGTATATTTATATAAATGATATCTTTTTTACGATATAAACACATTTATTATTAATAATATTAGAAGGCTTTCTTAGCTTTAAGTACTTAACTTATTTTATAGAAATTAAAAAGGTACAATTCATGGGATATGGCACTAGAAAAAGTATGCATTGAGTTTGTACGCATACTTTTTCTAACCAGTGTATATCGAACGCCGAATTTTATTTCAAAATAAATATATCGGCAATCAATACCCCTAATGAATACATACATACACATCTACGAATATTAGATTTAGTACCGTTTACGAAGTTAATGGCAAAGTAGAATTCGAAAACACCAGCGTTGGTTGGAAATAGATGTAGAAATAGATCAAACATACGGTCATCTCGCTCTGGCCAGCTTGGTTTATAGCTTTCGAAATAGTCCTGTTACCTTGTGTTCGATCCACTGCTCGCACGCAGAATATTCAAACCAAAAGGAGAGAGAGAGAGCCAAGTTCACTGCAAGTTCTACAGATTGCAGTAGGTTTTTTGACCAGCGGTTACCATAATTATTGAAATTCATACTCCGAATCGGGCAGGCAGAAGGAACGGATAAAACCGCAAAGCGTTTGTTTATCTAACAACACATTGGCGACAACCGCGGCATTAACCACACAAGCTTCTCGTCTTATCCCGTTATTATTGCAATTATTGTTTTTTTTTTTTTTGTGTGTTAGTGTGCAACACCATTTACATATGTGTGTACGCATGTACATCGTTTATTTACTGGAACCGTGTGCTATTTAATGCCTCAATTGCTCTGCGGTCACTACTCCAGCAGTTCGCATAAGAAACTTGGAAGGGCATGTGTTAGGGATAAGTGGAGCTGCGATTTCTTTTGATTTTTTTTTAGGTTAAGTCGCCGCTATTAATGTTTTACACATGTACACTTGTGTTCGTATTGGTGAATGAAAAATAAGCAAAACTAATTTCCAAATATTTTGCACGCCTTTGCAGACAAAATACGATACTTGGGAAGATAGCGATTTTAATGATCTGGATGACGCATCATTGAAGAAGCTACTCGAAGAGGCCTACTGGTATCGAAATCCTGGCGACAGAAAAAACAAGAGCGAGCGATTTCTGGTAAGATTACTCTTATGTATGTATGTTGCTGTATAAAAGCAGTAAACTGTTTTTAATACTTCATATGTATGTGTGTATATTTCGGCTTTAATTGTCACATTGAGGCGTACAATAAAAGTCCATTCACATCTACACCCCTGCAGCAAATGCTCAAAAAGGCTGAGTACGACGAGGAGATCTCTTATCGTGCCATCAAATCCTGCCTCACACTCAACCCATCCGCACTAACGTCAAGTGCAGCAACAGGCTCTAGCGGCGGGAGCAGCAGCAGTGCAGGGCACAACAGCAGCTACAACTCCACCAATCACCGATCCACGGATCCCGGACAGCGGCACAAGCAGGGCGGCTCCCTGCAGGATCTCGTCGAGGCGGCGCACCGCAGCGAATTGGCTACAACCTCGGCGGCGGCGGCAGCAGCGACGGCGGCGACAACGGCAGCAACCCAACGTTTCAACTGTGATTACCAGCTGAGTGGCCGCTCCAATCGCCGCCAACAGCAGCACAACCAAAACGCCACCTCCTCCGCATCCGCATCCAAAAAGATCAAGAACTCAAACGTCTCGGGCCGTCAACGCGAAGGAGGCAGCCTGCCCAGCAGTGTCAACTTTGAGCCGTCAGCTGCCATGGATGCCAAGCACAACAAGCAACAGGCTCAGCCTCCGTCAGAAGCTGCAGGAGGACCGTTTTCGGTATCGGTTGGTAACAAGCACCACCACCAAAGCAGCACCGGCAGTTGCAGCAGCCTGCCGAGTCATTTGGACGAACGCGATCCTGAGGCAAGCACCCAGTTCGACTTGGACGTGGACGATGCGACGGGTGTCGGTTCCAGTGCCGCCGTTGGCGTCAGCGGCGTCCAAGACGACTTCATGTTGGAGGTAAGCGATGCTTTGTATTGGTACCTCAAAGTGGGTAAAGTGTAGGGTAAAAATGTTAGATAATTTTCCAAATGGTAGATGGGGCAGATGAGGCTTTGTACAATGCTTATTCCCCCGCTTTCCATTTCCTGTACAGCAATTGGATCCTCAGAATCCCTCGGTGAAGTTTCTGCTTGATGCCCTCAACGACAAGCCATTGGAGGCCAGGTACACCGGTGCCGGAAAAAAGTTCCTAATCGACGACCGTCTAAATTTTTCCGTCCTGGAGTTGTCTGCCAGGAGGAAGCTGCAGCAGCAGGCACAATACCTGGCCGCCCTCACCGGACAATTTGGTCTCGGCCTGGAGGAGGAGAAGCGCAAGGTAGAGGCCGGCTTCGTGTCGTTCAACGACAACTACACGGCGTGCTCCTCGGTTTACGGCGGCGGTGCTGGTTCACCAGCTGCCGTGGAGGGCAGCAAGCCCTCGACCTCCTCCTCGGCCTCGTCCAGTGGTAGCAGCTACGGTGCCTCTTCTGACACAATGTCCAGCGATTTTCGTCCTGCGAAGATTGGACGCATGGTCCCCGCCGCAGGTTCTGTGGCAGCTGCGCCGATGGGTGGCAAGACCACTACGGTGAGTTAGCTTCAGTAGCTTGTGACACTTCTTCCGACTGCAAATACAAACGCCGAGAATTCGACTACTGTTTACATCATCATCTCTTTTTGTATTACAGCGTCAGCTAGACGAGAATGGAAATGCGTTGGGCGATGGCTTTGGTGGCAGTGCAGCCAGTGGAACCAGTGCAGTCGCCAGCAGTAGCAACGGCAATGGAAACCAGTTTACAGCCCTAATAACCACTACGGTGGGATCCAGTGCACCCACCTCTTCCGCCGCACACCGTCAGAATAGCGTCTCCACTCTGCTCTCCTCGGGCACCAACACTACGACCACGGCTATGGCAGCGGCGGCGGTGGCTGCATCCTACAGCCAGTTGCAACAGGCACCGGGTGGAGCCGCGGCTGGAGCTGGTTCTGGAATTGGTATTGGTGTGCAGCAGCCTACCAAGCAGAAGGCGAAGAAGAAGTCGCAGCAGGAACGCAACACGACCACCGTCGATGTGGAGTCAGTTGCCGGTTATAGGGGCAATGATCCTGTCGAGCAGCTCGTCAAGTACATTGAAAACGATGTCAACGGTGGCGGGAACAGTGCCGCTGGACAGCGCAAGAAGGAGCGCAAGAAGCAAAACAAGCTCAAAAAGAGCAACTCGCTGGAGGAGCTACGCACCTGCTCGAAAATGGAGTTGGACGATCTGAAGCGGCAGTCGGCGACCACGGAGATGATGCGCCAGAAGAAGGGCACGAACAATACGTCCTCGGGCGGATCGTCGTCGACGGCCTCTGGTTCCTCAAGCAGTGGCAAACACAACTCGGCATCCGTGGTGGATATTAACAAAAACTGCAACAAGGAGCAGCAACAGCAGTCAACGCCGACGGTGCAAGTGCGCAACAGCAACAATCCAGGATCGCAGCAGCGTAAGGGCGAACGCCGGTCCTGGGGCACCGAAGAGTTGCATTACCTGGGTGACCACCAGGAAATGTCCGCTGCCTGGTCGGAGCCGGAGACTGTTGGCCGAAAGCAGCTGCCGCTCGCGCTGCCCGCCTTGGCGCGCATGTCCGAACTGGAAGCCCTGAATACCGTCCTGTCGGAGACCGCTGAGTTCCATGTGGTTACCAAGAAGAAGAAACCAAAGAAGCAGCGTGCCGTTACCATGGACGATGCAGCGGTGGCTGCGGCTGCCGGCACGGGCGGCAACTTGCAGCGCATGCAGCAGATCACCAAGTCCGCATCCTCCAACATTATGTCCCAGCGGATGCACTACTATACCCCCTACAACAGCAACAACGGAGCAGGCAGTGCAACCTATAAGCAACAGCAGCAACAGAGCCAACAGTACCAGGAGCACTACCAGGCGCAACAGGGGCAGCATCACCATCACCACCACCATCATCACCACCATCATCACCATCACAGCGGCTCGGCTGTTTCGAATCAGGTGGATAGCTCGCGGCGCAAGTCCACTTCCTCTATGCCGCCATCGGAGAAGTCTGACTCCAGTGATCTCGACTCGGTCCACTCGCTGCCCATTCAGACGGGCAAAAAGAAGAGCCTTGGCGGGGGCAACAACAAGCAGCGGGCGGCGCAGGCAGCCAGTCAACGCCAGGCCAAGCAAAATAATTCCGCTGCTCCCATTTCGTATGCGGATATCGCCCGAAACAAGAAGGAGGGCCTGAACAATGCCACCGCCAGCGACACAGAGCTGGAGCTGGGCGACAAGATCCAGAGCAAGTGTGGTGGCAAATCCAAGTCGCGGCCCGACTTCCCGGAACTGCCTGGTGCTGTTACGACGGGGGCTGCAAGTGGAGGTGCAGTCAATCAGGCGACTGTTGCCAGCAACCAAACTACGCCACCGTCCTCGTCCAGTTCAATCAGTTATTCGCAGAGTCTTAATGCAACACCGCCCAGCAGCAGCAGTGATGCGGAGTCCACCAACTCGCCGGAGTTGTTTGCGCAGGTGCAGATACCGACTTGCAGCATGGCTATGCCTACCCTGACAGCCTCTACGATCAGCTGTGTCAGCAGCTCTGCCGCCAGCAGCTCGTCCACATCCGGCTCACCGCCAGCTTTGCAGAAATCCAAGAGCGTGGAGCACGAAACCAGCTACAGCTGCAACAGCAGCAACTTGGATCAACAGTATCCGGCACTAGAAAGGACCGTCAAGCGGCATAGCACCAACAACGTGTCTGTGGCCGTCGCAGCCTCCACTTCGGCATCATCTTTGTACAACTTTGCAGCGGCAGCCAAGCAGCAGCTGGCGGAGAACGCCTTTGCGGCTATATCACCGCCAGCAGCAGTGAAAACTACCTCAACCGCAGTCGTAGTCCCAGCTTCAGCTCCAGCTTCAGTTCCAGCATCAGTTCCAGCTCCAGTTCAAGCTTCAGCTCCAGCTGCTGTTACAGTTTCTTGTTATTCCTCATCCTCCACACAAGGTTCCACTCAATCTTTACCTTCTGCTGCATCGTCTGCTACAGCTTTGTCGTCGACCAAGGCCAAGGCCAAGCCAAAGGAGCTATCTCCCAGCACCAGTTGCAGCAAGAAGCCATCGAAGCCTAGTCAAGATGCACCGTCAATCAGTCTGTCCACTTCCACCACGCCTAAGACCACCACCAGCACCAGCACTGCTACTACACAAAAGACCACGGCTGCCACGCAGACCGAGGGAGCAAAGAAGCTGATCAGCGGCATCCACAAGCTGCCCAGCAGCAGTTGCATTGCCAAGGGAGCCGGGGCCGTTTTGGAGGCCAGCGCCGGCAGACGTGCTGTGATCATACTCAACGATGATCGCGAAGCGGGCAGGAGCAACAATGAGTTCATATTCGGTGATTTCAACGAGGATGAGCTGAAGCTCTTTGACGATAACTTGGATGATGAGGAGGATGGCCAGCAGCACAAGCAGTCTTCGGACAAGAAACAGCAAACAGAGGCGGAATCTGATGTGGGCCAAGATGACATCGAGGACGTGGACCAAGAGCTGGAAAAGGAACTGGAATGCCTGGGACGACAACCAGGGAAGAAGCAAGAGCAACAGCAACAGCAGGATGTCAGTGCCAGCAGCGATCAGCATTTAAATGATTCTGGTGCAGCTTCGGATGCAGTCAACAGCTCAGCCAGCCTTGACATGCTCTCGATTTCTGCAGAAGCGGCACAATCGTCACCTAACGCGGGTGCAACCGCCACCTCATCCAGTGCAGCCAGTCTCATTAACTCATCCACGCCCTCGAGTGCTTCGTCCGCATCGGCGAGCACCTCCACCTCATCGTCCTCGGTCTCGATTTCATCCTTCTCGGGCGGCAACGGCGCCGCTTGTCTGGCTTCCGTTTCCGGTATGCTTGGAGGAGTGGGCAATCAATCGGGGGACAGCGGCATCTATGCTGCCGCCAACACGTCCATTAAGGAGCACGTTAACTCTTTCCTAAACAAGGCCAGCAGCAGCGAGGAGACGCTGCCGAGTCCCAACTCCATATCGATGCAACAGCTGGAAACGTGCAACGACATCGAGGCGGCCATCATAGCTGCGGCCCGTGCTGCCGCTGCTGCCCGCAGCACCAGCTTCAATCGCAACTCTCAGGAGCAGGAGGCCTTGCAGTCGCAGGTCAAGACCAAGGCGACTGCCAATTCCAATCCGGAGGCGAAGGTTGTTCTGCCCGTGTTTATGACCTATAACGACGACGACGAGAACGATGAGAGCCTGCAGGAACTGAGCTTCATGGCCGACCTTAAGGCGGATGCAGCCACGGAGGATGTGCTGCCGCCACCGCCTTCTTTTCCAGCGATGATGACCAACACGGAACTAATCGTCGACTACATCGCCAAGAGTGAGTACTCGGGTTTGGGTTTCCTTTCTGGTTTTTCCATGCTATCAACTATTAGTATTAACACACGTTTGTGAGAGAAGCCGCATTATTAACACTTCTTTGTGCACTTTTGCAGCCTGGAATGCCATTGCCAACAGCAAGTATGTAACGTACTACAACGAGCAGGAGCAGGAGACCTAGGAACCACAGAAACAGCAATCGCTGCAGCATCAGCGAAATCGGAATCAGCAACTTCGTCGTCAATCACAATAGCAACGTCAGCAATATCGGCAGCAATTTAATGAGAACACCCAACATCGTCTGAAATCAGTAGAGCACTTTAGTTGGAGTTGCGTGTTCTGAAAATTGAAATATTTTTTTTGCTGGTCCATCATTTATATATCTATACACACTATAAATTACTGATATAACGATACGCTTTTATGCTAATTAATGTAAAGAGTCTATAGACGAAATATTGATTAACTTTTGCAAGCGCGGCAGGCGAGGATCAGGGTAGACATCTAAATGGTCTAGATGGTGTGCATGCATGCGAGTGCCTGAGATTAAGAGTATAGGATCTATTTAGATGCAGGTCGATAAAGTAGGGGTGTGGTTCCGGTTCCGCATGCCCAATAGGTTAACTATTGAAGAGGGGATTTATATAGAGGAAGAGAGCATTCAGCTGTGAATAACAAGGAAATCATAACTAAGAAAAGTGAACTTACCAGATAAAAAGTGGTCGCGGGACAGGAGGACATCTATAAGTGAATATTTATTTAACAGAAGTTGACCGAAATTTAACCATTTTTTTCGCCACAAAGTGCGATGTTCAGATAGTGATGTTCAATCAAGCATTTGGATCTGGTTTTGTTAATTTACAATCTTCTGGCTCCCGAAAACGCAACGTTTTACCATTACTATTACTATTACTATTACCATTACTATTACTATTACTGTACTTTAATTATTATTATACAATTACGCCACCGTTTTTTTTTTCGTCATAGTTTCAAATGCCCAAACTGGGCGCGTTGTTGGAGGAAATCCTAATCCTAGATATTAGACAGAGTCAACGTCGGTGTATATAGTGGACCAGAAGTCGTGGAGGCAGTTCGATAATTTTGTTTATGGATCAGAAACAGACTAGAACAAGAACAGAACAGAACAGAAAGCCCCGCGGAAGATATTTGATATGTGTGTATGATAACGACTATTTAAAGTAAACTATGTAAGGCCCGCTTTTTAGCTCCGGCTAGCCATAAATAAGCCTCAAGAGGAGAGTATGTTAAACCGTATAATCGTAAACAGAGAACCACAAAATACCAGCATAAACATAATGCATACACTTACGAAAAATGCCGCCGTTTAGCAGGGAGAGCCACAGAAGGTCTCTCCGAGGGTAAAGAAGTATAGATATCGTAACCATTTAAGGAACAAGTAAAAGTAACGTCAAACAAGTTCAGTAGAGAAGAAATCAATTGGAGTCAGAGACAGAGAAACCAACAAACAATAATCGTTAAGTAAACTCGTAACATAAAGAGCGCAACTAAATTGCTATCAATAGGAATATACATTACATACGTGCATCTATTAACGTAACTTTTTTTTGATAATGCAAACGTTAACCGTTTAAAATCGAGTTTGTAAGAGGCAGGTAACAGTTAGTGTGAACAAAGTAGGAATAAAATTACGGAAAGAAATCATACATTAATTTATCTAAAGTGCGAAACGAGAATGCCTATTTAAAGCATCATTAAAACATTTAAAAATCCGATTTGGAATGCCCACCCCTAAGTCCAAATAAACAGAACGAACTGTGTGAAATGTTTTTAGATATATGTGAAACTGTTTTGCTTCAATCACTGTATATTTTGAAAATAAAAGTAAAGTATAATATCGAAAAGCGGGACATATATTCAACAGCAATCAACCCCGAGTCCTGAATTCTTGACCCTTGACCCTCTAAAAATCCGCATGGAACACTCGCCAGAGCTGTTGCTGCACTGCTCTAAACCATGCTAGCCATCCATCCGAAGCAGAATCAAAAATGAAAGCATTAGAATTTTAACGTAGTTGCTAGGAGGATGATAATATGGAACATATGAAATATTTGTATCTGTACCACACACATTAAGAGGACACTAAGGAAAACACTAGTTTACGAATTCGGCCTTTTGGCGGTTACTTTGAAGAGCGTTATATTTTCAAATTAATTGGAAGAAGGCTGCTGAAAGCGAATGTGTATCAAAATCCAGCTAACTATAGGTTTTATCTTGCGAATATTGATACCAACTTCAGGAGAATGGAAAATTGTTTAGGGAACTATATTTGATTTATTTGGGATTTTATCTTTCAATATTTCGTGTTAAACATTATTTCCTTTCACACCCAACGCTTTTTTCGAGAATATCATGTTCTATTTACAATACACATGTTTAATTTCAGCATACTCAGATTAGTCTAAGAAACGTGTTTTTAATGACGTACATTTCTCGTGTAAACTAGTGTTATATATGTACAACCACTAAGTCAAACTAAGCCAATGTACACTGCAACAATTTTAGACAATTGAGAACTAACAAGAAACAGAAACAAGATACACAAAACCGAAACTTCGAGAGTATGGAAAACAACATTAAATTAAATTATACGCTAGGTCAGTGAATAAAATTAATACTGAAATATTAAAAGTTACTTATAAACAGAAGGTATAACACGAAAAAAAGTTTCTTATGTGTGTATTTATGTAATATATATATATTGTAGTTGTGTGTATGTGTATATAAATAGTAAATTGTGACTCGAAACAGAGAAAATCACGGAGGCATATGAAGGATCAGGATAATCGGACATTCATTTTTCCCGCTATATAGTAAACCGCCTTTTTCGTAGGACGAGGTGGCTCGAGCTTGGAGTTTGAAGGTCGAAAAATCGGCCGACAGACCAACACTAGGATTGTTTTAGTTTCGCCTTTTGTTTTTACGTAGCTAGCGTATTGTTCAATTTATCGGATTCGGATATTAGATATCGGAGTGAGCGCTCGAGTTGCGTACAGTTCAGTCTGCATTATTTCTGTCTTGCGTGCACTTGTTGAGTTTGAAATACAATAATTGGGAACGGAGCGGAGTGGCGAGAATTGAAGAGCAGCGAGCGCAAGGGAACTATAATCATAGATATACATACATGTAACAAAGTCTACGACTAAGTCTATTTACTACTGATGGAACTACTAAGTAACCCCCGATCCCCAATCTCCAATCCCCAAAATTCCAACCCATCCCTAAATATAACTTATACATACCAATATTTGTACATGCGAACAAGCGAAAGGCTTTAGAATTTAATCATAAAGGTCCGAAAACCGATTACCCAATCGAGGCAGAAGCAGCAAACTGAGAAACGTATTTGATGGGGAATCGAAATTTAATTTAAAATTTGTTTAAATTATTATAAACTGGAGAGAAGTGTATTTCTGTGGAGAATCGAAATAAAATTTAACAAAAAAAAAAGAAAACAGCTGCTTTCGATTATCCTGCCTTTGCTATTCCAATGTGGAGTGGATTTCGGGGCTTGGGTATAGGTATAGAACTAGTATGTAGGTATTGCAGGTTGGAGCTGATGGTGTATAATGGTACCAGATTTCCTGCATTAGATTTCACTCTGCGCTGGCAGAAGGCAACTGAAGACATCAACTAGCGGAAAACCGACTGGATGGTAACCTGGATCCAAAGAATCCAGGCTATCGAAAACAAGGTCGCAAGACTCATCACCGGCTGCGAGTGGTTTGTGCAAAATACCACCCTGCACAGAGACCCTTGACGAGATAAACCAGCACTCGACTTGCCAGCGCTCTGAACAGATCTCGCCCAACAAGGAGGCTCAATAGAAGGCAACCGCGGGATCTCCTTTGACAAGGGCCAGGAGAAGCTGATGCTTATCATAAATTATTTGTTATCTGTGAATGGGCTGAATTAATAGACAAATAAATAGACAAAAAAAAAAATAAAAGTTTTGTTTTCCTGAAAAATTTAGCTGCTGCCGGACAACGATCAGCTGATCATTAATTGTGTTGCATACTTTTGGGCTGAACGTGATTGTCACACCAGTTCATGTTGCACCTAGTGTTGCCTACTTTCGAGGGCCACTTCATTTCAAATTCTGCAAATTCACCTCCTGGCATTTCTGCTCGCCTGGTATCTGAAATCGAAGAAGCTGCATTTTTCGGGCAAAAATTAACAAGTCATTTTGTAAGGCAACTTGGGCAATGTCCGATTCCATACACCAGGCGAACAGAAATGCCAGAAAGTTACCAACGATCATTTCGTTTTCAGCAGACACCTACTGCGGATTATGATCGCCTGATGCAAAAAGTCTGAAAGTCTGACTTTGATCCGAGTTTTGTTGGGCAATTTGGGCAATATCCGATTCCATACACCAGGCAAACAGAAATGCAAGGAAGTGGCCAACGATCATTTCGTTTTCAACAGACACCTACTGCTGATTATGATCGCCTGATGCAAAAAGTAATGAAATGTGCCCAAAACTATGAAAATCTGATCAGTTTGAACCGAGTTTTGTTGGGTAAATTGAGGGATTCTTGATTTCAGATACCAGGCGAACAGAAATGTCAGAAAGTGACCAACGATCATTTCGTTTTCAGCAGACACCTACTGCGGATTATGATCGCCTGATGCAAAAAGTCTGAAAGTCTGACTTTGATCCGAGTTTTGTTGGGCAATTTGGGCAATATCCGATTCCATACACCAGGCAAACAGAAATGCAAGGAAGTGGCCAACGATCATTTCGTTTTCAACAGACACCTACTGCTGATTATGATCGCCTGATGCAAAAAGTAATGAAATGTGCCCAAAACTATGAAAATCTGATCAGTTTGAACCGAGTTTTGTTGGGTAAATTGAGGGATTCTTGATTTCAGATACCAGGCGAACAGAAATGTCAGGAGGTGACTTTGCAGAATTTGAAATCAATTAGCTCTCGAAAGTATGCAACAAATAAATTGAACAGCTGTGGCAATTGTGTTCAGCTCAAAAGTATGCAACGAATAATTACTGATCAGCTGATTAATAAATTGAACAGCTGTGGCAATTGTGTTCAGCTCAAAAGTATGCAACGAATAATTACTGATCAGCTGATTAATAAATTGAACAGCTGTGGCAATTGTGTTCAGATCAAAAGTATGCAACGAATAATTACTGATCAGCTGATCAATAAATTGAACAGCTGTGGCAATTGTGTTCAGCTCAAAAGTATGCAACGAATAATTACTGATCAGCTGATCAACCATATCCGACAGATCCTAAAGGTATGCAATATTAATATTGCAATAATACGGGCGAAAAGTATTTTTTTTATTATTATTTTATTTATTAAGGCATACGGGGTGAACTATTAGCCCCTTTGTGAGGGGCGAAAACTATGCTGCACTATAGCTGCATTTCTCTTTCAGCGGGACCACCATACAATCTATATTAGTAATTAAACATGATAAGGTTGTTTTTATTCTTCGAATACGGCAAAATACTTTTCGTACTAAAAGCCATAAGTGTAACCATACTGGAAACGAAGAATTGCGATAGTTGCACGGAACTGGATAGTGGGACCGTTCGTTCCGTTGGCATGCCGTTATTTAGGCACACAGGCCGCCGATTTGTTTGTTTTAACAAAATTGTGTTTTTACCAACTGCCGCAGAATGTCGGAGGTCCGCATTCGGCCGCGCCAGGTCCTTATCCTGATCATCGTCTTCCTCGTGGTTCTGATGATGGTACACCGCAACGGGAAGCGCACATGCCAGGGCCCAGAGTACCTGCAGGCCATGTTCATTCAGGCGGACACGTTACCCACGATTTACGCCGTAACGCCAACGTATCCACGGCCCGCACAAAAGGCAGAGCTAACCAGGTGGAGTACATCCGTATCGCATGCAAATGCCTCCTAGTAACGCCCCGCATTCCATCAGACTATCTCACCTCTTTATGCTGCTGCCGCACCTGCACTGGATCATTGTGGAGGACATGAACGCCACCACGCCGCTGGTCAGAAACCTGCTGAAAAGAGCCGGTTTAGAAAAGCGTTCAACGTTGCTAAACATCAAGACGCCAACAGAGTTCAAGCTGAAGGGCAAGGACCCCAACTGGATCAAGCCTCGTGGCGTGGAGCAGAGAAATCTGGCTTTGGCCTGGTTGAGGAGCCATGCCGATGTCGACCGGCATTCTATAGTGTTCTTCATGGACGACGACAACTCCTATTCCACAGAACTGTTCGCCGAGATGAGCAAAATAGAGAGGGGTCGCGTGGGCGTCTGGCCGGTGGGTTTGGTCGGTAGTCTGATGGTGGAGCGACCGCTGCTCACTGAGGATGGCACCAAGGTGACCGGATTCAATGCCGCTTGGCGACCGGAAAGACCATTCCCCATCGACATGGCCGCCTTCGCCATCAGCATGGATCTCTTCATCCGGAATCCGCAGGCCACGTTCTCGTACGAGGTGCAGAGAGGATATCAGGAGAGCGAGATCCTAAGGCATCTAACCACCAGGGATCAGCTGCAGCCACTGGCCAATAGGTGCACGGATGTGCTCGTCTGGCACACGCGCACTGAGAAGACCAAACTAGCCGCCGAGGAGGCGCTCTTGAAGAAGGGCCAGCGATCCGATGGCGGCATGGAGGTCTAACGCACGGGAGCCAATTGTATATATAGCAAGCTACCTTCCTAGTGAATTTACGTAATGTGTTCCGTCTCCCTGAACTATCACTGCTTCCTCATAGTCTAGCCCCAATTTATTTAATATTTTGACTTCCTTTTATTCTATGTAATTTGTAAAAATATGGTGTAGGCAAATTATTACGATTTTAGTTTAGACTAAGCCAGACGATTTCAGAAGTGCTGTCATAAAATCAAATATATTGACAGGTCACTAGATTTCAAAACAAATTAAGTTTTTTCCAACTACACAGCGTATTTACGCACGTTTTAAATATAAAAATACTACTAGTTGTGCAATGCTCAAATCAAAGTTGTAACATCTCTACACGAAGATTATAATTTTACCTCGAAGGTTAGCCCAAATGAACTAATTTTTCTAAACTATAAGAACACTTTAAGTTGTCACATTAGATTGTATATACACCCATAGTAATTGCAAAGCTTTAAAGGATCGTTAGAAATATAAGCTTCAATTGTGTGCCTCCCAATTAACGCGAATAAAATTGATATGTATTATCAATACCTATTTCAAAAACATGTTGGCTCTTTGGCAATGAATCGATTTATTATCACCGCCCAAATGGGAATTGAAACTACAGCGATTGGTATTATAGTACAGTAAATAAGATTTATTTCCCCCGTTTCAGTTTCAGTGTATAATTTTTCATCAGTTTTGTTTAGTTCATATAAAAAGCTACACTGTGCCGCCGAACGAAGCTATCGAGTTTTCCGATTCGTTCGGCTTCTTGCAAACATATTTCATATGCTCGAATGACCAGCAGTTTTTCAAACAATCGCATCCAAATTCAAATGTATATAGCCTCCTGTAATCTCGACTTGGATTCGCTTCGTGGGTTATTCAATAGGTCTTTCATATAGTATCGTGTATATTTATAGGTAAAAAGCTCTGACAAGGCGCTTGACTTAATTGGCAACAAAAGGTACAAAGCTCAAAGGCAAAGAACCAAAAATGTGGGATCTCAGCGATTTCAGGAATCTTTACGGCTGTCAAATAAAAATGCGTTTTTCATGGGGCGTTACCGTACATACATACATTCAGATCGGCGTGAGAACACAAACGTGGTTCGCTTTTGTTTTTTTTATTTTGTATTATCTGTTTCGTGTAGAAAAAAAAACTTACGAGTAACTTTAAATACATGTACATACATATATATATTTAGATTTATATATCCGTTAGATTAATGCGTTTTAGATCTCTTAACTACAATTTGTTTAATTTTTACATACATAAGAAAATACTTTTAACACAAAACTGAGCGATTTGCGGTTGTTCGATGGAAGTGGGATGAAAGGTTATAAAAGGTTGTTAATGTTTGGCAATCTCGTAGCTCTCAGATTTCTCTACAACTTTGCAGTTAGTCGGATAACCATAGATTCCCTTGCAAAGATTGATCTCGAGTGTTACGATCCGGATGCCGAGGTGCCTCGGGTGCTTTATTTCCTTATTTTCCGTTAAAGCAGCTAAGCAGTTTGTAAACATTTTCAAATATTCAATTTCTTTAACATTAATGTACATTGAGCATTATTCATTAAGTGCCGTCTGCGGGTTACACATTCCGGTGGTTAAGTATACGAATTAGCAGTAGGAAACCAAGGATTTCGATATCAACTAAGTCAAGTCCATTCAAGTCCATTCCTTTTGTTGTTCTTCTTTTGATCTTTCCAATGTCATGGTTTTGCGGAAAGAAATGCTCGCAAGTCTTTTGTTTAGCGTTTTAAGTACTACGAATTGGTGGGGGATGATGATCAGGGGCAAACTTAATGTTAAAACTTATTTATGGCATGTTTAAGTTAGTTATACTAAAGAAATCGATCTCATTTCTTGCGGCTTACATGCATAAATCCCTCCTCTGCGCTTTAGATGCTAAATAATTGTAATTTTTTGTTTGTAAGGCATTAATTTAAGATTTCCTTCTTGCATACATTCATATATATAACTTAGGCTAGGTCCTTTTCTTATCATCTCTTTTATATTCATTTAGTTCTCCTGCTTCGTTCATCGTTCATCGGTATTTGTAATTTCTTGCTTTCATTTGTGACATTTTTTGGACTAAGGAAAAACAAAGCAAATGCAGCGATAAAAAATACTTGTTTAAACTAGAAAATGAAGCGACATTGAGTTATTATTATTTCTTTCTTCTGTGTATGCTTGCTGGTTTTTCGAGCTTAATGTGCTATGTTTTAGATGTTGTTAAGATATCGTATGCATTATAGTAAGACATTTAGTAAGATTTACGCTGTGTACGAAAGTAAATTAAAACCAACTTAGTGTGCCAATCGAATCGATCGATTTTCAAGTGCTCTTCCCCCAGCTTTGGCTTTGGCTTGTTCTCGCTAGATCATCATAAAGTTATATTTTCATACGCTTATTTTCATATTTCTTATTTCTTCCCGCCTCTTTTTCCTCTGTTTTGTGCACATTACTCGGACTCTGGAGCTGTGGATACCAGGCGCTGTGGATACCCTCCTTACACCGCCGAATTCTTTCCGATTATCTCGCCACTGCGTGAGTGCACAAATCGACCGTCGAACTCGATGGTCGAGTTCTGTTTGATGCTGCCTGTTGGCGTGCGTAGCGGCTCCTTTTCGTCCCTGCGAAAGTATTGGCAAGTTAAAATTGGTAAGTTGTCACTTGGAGTGTGATTTCTACTGCAAGCGTACTCCAGCTACTCATGCATTCCAAACTAGCTCTTCTCTAGAGTATGATGCAATTCAAGTCTGGTACAATTTTCAAGCTATTGATAGCAGTGCTAGCTGAATATGACTTATGAGGTACAGGACAGGATCTATGTACATGGTGATGTCAGTTTTCGAAAGATAGGCGGCAAAAGAAATACAACACGCTACAAAGATGCAAATATGCAGACAGGCCGAGCGGCCGAGCGGCGGCGAAAAGAAAAAATGCAGAACGGAAAGCGCGAATGGAACGGAAACGGAAATGAAAATAGCAACGGAAACGAATCGAATCAAAAACGGATACGGATACGGATACAGAAGTCGGGGTACGTACAATGGCGTGCTCATGGGCGAACCGCCCAGTTTGACGGGCGGCGGCAGTGGCAACGGCGACGGCGGTGGCTCCTTTACCAGCTGGCCACTGCAATAAGGTAGCGGAAAACGCCAACCGTAAAGACTGCTTGGTTAGATGGTTTTGGGTTGATATGGTGATTGTGGTTCGGTTTTGGTTGGATTTGGTTTGGTTTGGTTTGGTTTGGTTTGGTTTGGTTTGGTTTGGTTGGATGTGTGATTGGATGATTGGAACAATACATGATGAGGTTGATTTAGTATCGAAAAATGAGTTGAATACATAGATATGGAAGTAAATGACCAACAATGATTGAGCAGATACAAGGTGTGTATGTATAATTTTGAGTGCTTGTTGTTGTGTTTCTTTTAAATTGATCAACTTTCTGAGCAAATAACGCGGATGAATATTTGTAGGTTTTCAACATTTAACAGAATTCTTAACTAGACATCTTTAACTTTTTGCAGCTAGGCGCAGCAGATTATTTTACTTTACACACACCTAAAACGCAACAATCTTGTACAAGTAGTCAACAAATTAAGCAAATGATTGTAAGCAAAAATGGGTGTTTCTGTGTTAACGAGTGTAAGTAATAGATCTAAATTATTGACTTGGTTTGTGTTGTTCTGTGTTTGGTCTTCGGATTACATTCAATATTGCACTAAAAATGTCATGGCAAACGAAAAGGTAAATGGTAAACAAATTGAATAGTAAATTTTGTTAAGTCCCTCTGGACTTTCCGGACTTTCCGGACTTGGCGAATCACTCAGACGGATATCAGGGAATTGCGATTGAACAATAAGGACTTGGGCCGCGCATAAACCCAATTGTATTCGAATTCCTGGCGAGTGTGGCTAATTATCGCAAAATAGGAGCGTGTGGGGGAAAACACAAGTAGAATGCAAGAAGCATAAGGTTAAATTCGAGTCCGATTCTGATTTTTAGTGCAATATTTCATTCAAAAGTTTTCCATAAGTTCCATAAAGTAAAGAAAACTAAAAGAGAACAGAACAAAGTGATAAGCTCAAGGCTAATTTGACCTTTCGAATTCCGTATTGTTCGAAAGTGGGCTGGAGTCAAATATGTACTTCTCGGCTATATCACTTGGTTCTGCCTACGATATATGGAGATGCCACACATCGATGTCGCTTACCTGCCCAGCTTGGCCTCGTCGTCGATCTCAGAGGGCGATCGCTTGGCCTTGCGGCACATGGTGGCCATGACGCCCATGTGGACGGTGATGCAGCAGAGGAGGTCGACCACGAACAGGAGGAGGAGGACTCCGCCGAGTGCGATGCCTACGATGGCCGCCGAGGAGAAGACCTGTCGCTCAGCCACCTGGATGACGTCAATTCCTGCATTTTTGTTTGTAGCGTATTAGGGAGGTTGCAGACGAAAGGTCGGCGGGGGAAAGAAGTGTACTTGATTAGTAAGTGCATTCATTCAGGTCGATGTAGATTTTGGAAGGGAGTATTAACTATACGTATCTCTAGGTGGTACGGTGCCAGCACCTGGCTAACTAGCCTAGGAAAACTCCTCCAATTAACAGCTAGTCTTACACATTTAAAACTCGGATTCTTAATCGTTTAATCGTGGTTAATCGTTTAAAAGTTTTTTACATTTTTGTGTGTGTATTAATTTGTGGTTGAAATTAGTAGAAAGGTTTGTCATAACGAAATCATAACAGTAATAACAATAGTAGTAGCAATCATAAAATCCAAAAACACAAGAGGGAAATCAATTTCAAATTGCACCAATTGACATAACATGAAAAGCATTTTCAAACAAAGCAACAAACTGAGCAAACAAATTTTCATTTCTCCTCATCGCCGGATTATTTTCTTTTTGCCATATATCAAAACTGGCGGTATTACGAATAAAGCATGCAGCCGGAAAGGAGAAAACTGTGGAATTTGGGGGGTCTTTTCGCTCAGCACAAAGAGATAGTGAGAAAGTGGGTGGTGAAAGTTGGAAAATTAAGCGTTTGGTTGAAGTGTTTTAGTTTTATACAAATTGCAAAATACATAAGTAGGCCAATATGCAAAGTATACAAGCAGTGTTAAGCAGTTCAACTTAGAAATATAAGTCATTGATACCCTATGTTATATAGAGGTGTATATAGATTGTATGTACATTTTGTGTGCGGTAGTGGGATTATGAAGGTAGGGGAATCGTTTGCCTAGAGTGCCTTGCTTGGGTTTTAGAAACTATAACATAATCAATCAACATTTAACAATTAACAATGGGGTTTTTATAAACATAATTCTCTGGGTATTCAGGTGTACAATAATTTGTTTTTCTGTTTATTGAACTGATAGTATCTGCGGTTGTTCGTGTGCAGTGCAAATAAACAGGTTATGATACAAAGATATATAGGCGTTAAACACATCCTTTTTTGTTACCTGGCGGCGTCCAAAATGCTGATGGCAGCCCTGTCCCAAGTCACACACGCTCGCACAGCTTCTGTTAAAGTTTTCTCTTTATTACCCAAAGTGAACTGTTTAAGTGGTAGCCTTTATTTTTGTTTCCTTTTACCAACTTCGTTAGCGTTTTTGTGTTCGACTTCATTTGCTTACATCATTCGGGACAATGTTTGAATGTGATCTGTGTGAACAGTGAAAGGTCCTACTGCTTGCCCAAGGGCGTTAAAAAAAATCGCTTTCCCCATCTCAGCAACGTTAGGCGGGCTGAATTTTTCACTAACTATATATGTATACGTATGTATAACTAGATATTGTAAAGGTATAAATTGTATTTATGTTTTTTTTTTTTTTTTTCTGATTTAAGATATATATTTGGCTAGAAAAATCGATTTCGCTTGCTAAAAAAACGTGTATACAGGAATATCGGTTCGTCTAGATCGAGTTGCATTCTAGTTTTGACTTTCTAAATGCTTACTATCAACAGAAGGTAAAACACTTGAGTGTGGAAAAATTCGTAATGGCTTTAACTTAGTTAGAGTTACTTATTGTCCCCTCTTAACGTTTACGTGCTCAAAACAAAACAGAGACTCGGATAACTGCTCGCAACTGCCTGAAAAACAGTGTTGGAAGAAGCTTTTTGGCTAACTTTAGGAGTAAGGTATGGTGTAAATGTAATTGTAATTGTTTTCATAACTTGTACTCGTATGCATTTAATAATTTTTTTTAAATTTTCTTGTAGAATTTCGCTAAAATTTGGTATATATAATTTGGTTTTCGTTTTTTTTTTTATCTTTGTCGCTTGGCAGTGTTGTAGAATTCACGTTGAACTAAGCGGAACGGATGTACGGAATCGGAATACGTTCTATAAATGCTCTCGCTATACACATACAACTAAATAACAACTTAACATTGGCTTAGTGGTAAAACAAGGTCTCTAGCGGTTACACATAGGATTTCGGATACATTAAGTACAATTTTATAGTAGTGTAAGCAAGTGTTTCGGTTTTGGCATTTCGATTTCGTCTTTCTTTTTTTAACTAGGTACTATCATAGATTTTCGTTTTTTTATTTGTACAGTTAATGGAATCGTGACCCGCCCTAGGTAATATTTTTAATGATCATATTCTCTACTTGAGCACATTTAACGTAATTATGTCCGCTTCTTCATGCTTGTTAAGGATATGTTTTATTTTATTATTTTTTTTTTTTCGTTTTTTCATTTAGTTTTCTTATTATTTACACATTGACACACCAAACGGAAACAAGAGAAAGAAACCCATGATAATTTGTCAGCGGAAGGATCCTCCAAACACTGCTTCTTGATGACTGGAAGCAGAAGCATCGGCAGCTAAGGTCGTTTAAGCAGTGTTCGTCGTCGGCAGCAAAATCATCAGCATTGTCGGCAGAGCAGTGAAAATTACAAGCAGTTGGGCCAGGGGTGCAGCGCCACTCGCCGAAGGATGGGGATTATCTGTTGGTTTTTTCGATATCGGTTGTCGATTTTCGATATTTATATGCATTTGGCATTTGTACAGTTCGATTTGAATTGATTTTAGTAGTAGGAGTTGTTGTTGTGGTTTTTAGCACATACACACCGTAAAAGAGAGAAAAACAAGGAAGAAAAGTGGTAGAAGAAAAAGGAAGAAAAGGAAACACACAAAAGAACATTTCGTTGTTGTTGGTTGGTCATGATTTTCTTTTTCTTTTTTTTTTTTGGTTACTGAGAAGACGACGACGTTGGATCAAACACAATGTGCAAAGTGTTAGTGGTTTGTTAGTTTGCATTGTTTGTTTTTGTTTGGCTCGGTTTCGAGTTTGCGTGTGTTTGTGTTTGCTTTTGAGTGTTTGATTCTCTAACAAAAGGGCCACAAATGTGTTGTTAGTAAAGTTTTGTGGTTGTTGTTGGTTAGAATAATAGCTATGACTAAATGCCTAATTAGATGCACACACTAAGTTCACTGTTTAGCCAAAATATCAAAGATTAAATGTTGGATTTGGGGTTATGTATCGGTAGAAAACTGAGGTCTAGGCAAAAGCGATAGGAATGGGTAGTATCGGGAATAACGGTATACACAGAGAGAAATTGGCAGCTAGAGAGGCAGCACACACAAACACAAAGGTTTTAATAGCACAAACAAACAGACTACGCACAACATTTATATACTTAAAATTAACAAAGGAACATCAAATCAAGGAACAGAGACGACACAGCGAGAGCGACAGAGAGGACAAAAGTGTGAGTGGGGGTGAGCGAAAGAGATAGAGACAACGCAGGCAGAACGAATTATCGAAACCGATAAAAAATGAGTACGACAGCAGTTGCAGTAAATTACAGTTTGTTTCATTGGTTTTCTTTGAATGTTTTATTTGAGAAACGTTTTCATTTTCATCGCTTATAATTGAAAAATTCAACTAAAGAAGTAGTCGCAGTATACAAACAAAATCAAATCATATTAATTCAAATAATAATCGACGTAATAAAAAATAATAATGAAGAACTCTAGTGCGGTAGTAATCCAATTTAAAAACAGAAAATATTCTCATTTCTTGTTTTTTTCATTACATACTAGATTTACATTTAACAGGGTTCTTGTTTCGTTACGTATGTGATGAATGCAGACACACACACAAAAATATAAAATATAAAATTATAATCATAGTTTTCAAGTTTTTCATTTCCTTCATTTTGTGTCACAAAAATGTCATGTTTAGTGTGTTGGTAATTATAATTAAGTAAATGCTTAATATTGATAAGAAAAAAAAGAGCGTAAAGTAAGCTAAAATTCAATTCGGACGCGCGCATCTCGCACATTTCTACATATCGTACAACGGCTGACTGACGAGAGTGTGGTGAACTTCGCATTTGAATGCGAATTAAGAGTGGGTTTTGATCTCAGAGGGACGACAATACGATCCCGAACGAATTGTAATGCTTAGTCAAATGCGTTGCAGTACTTTTGTCATATTTTGTTTTTTTTTTGTTTGGCTCAGGTTTGGGTTGTGTGGTGTGGACATTGCGATTGGAATGTATACATTGTAATGGATTAATGGATTGTTATCAATAAGAGAAGTTAAAATAGTTAAAATGGTTAAGATGCTCGAGACAATTCAGAACTCACGAAAACATGCAAACGTAAAAGGTTTCAAAAGAGAAGACAATGAAATTAAGTCATTACGTTGAGCAAATTAGGTTAAAATCTGGGTGGGGTTTGGTTTTAGGATTTGGATGGGACATTACAAGGTAGGGGGTTTAACACTGAGTGTGAACGAAAAACAAAAGTCGAAACGCAATTGAAATAAACACTACAAAAATGTATGCAAAATTTATCGATTATATCTGGGATATTTGTATCATATTCATATATAAATATATATATATATATATATATAGAGCAGTAAAAATTATGTCTTTATCTAGATATCATGTAGATGATGTTTGTGTGTGAGTGAGTGTATGTATATATAGAGATTTTTCAGTTATATATTTTGATCTTTTTCTTTTTACTGGGATCTTGTGGACTCGATACGATTCGATTCGATATTTTCGATATTTCGAATATCGAACGATCGGTTAGCCGAAGAAACAGCGGTCGTATGACAGCTCTATGCTTACATTTTGGAAATGCAAAATGCAAGATCTCGTCGACGAGAAAATCTATATCCCACTGCGTTCGGCTGATTGATCGATCGATTTTTCTTTCTTTTTTTTGATTTTTTTTAGACTAACATTGAGGCTAGGACACTAAGTAATGTTATGCTTATTGTGGTGGCCAGCGTAATGATTGTTGTTGTTGCTGTTGTTATCGATGTGATTGTTGTTGTTGATGTGGCTGTTGTTGTTGTTGTTGTGAACAGTCGTTTGTGTAGCGCACCGACACCGGAATTAAATCCGGCCGAATAGAGCAACGTGCCGAGATTGTTATTAGCTGAATCGGACTCACCTCGTGTCGTCTTCATGATAATGGAAGCAGGAGAGGAATAGCCGATGGCGTTGTGCGCCTTCAATTCGATGCGATAGTAGGTGTTGCCCACCAGCTGGGTCATCTCGAAGGATGTGGTCTCCATCACCTCAACGGTGTTGCAGGAGTTCTCCAGTTCCGTCCAGGTGCCGCTGATCTTAACGCCCTGAAGACCAGAAGAGTGGATTAGTATGACTTCGTTGACTGCCCCGCCAATAACTAGATTAGGTCTATAAATATCACTCCAACGAGAATTCGTTTGAATCCAAAATGGAAAGTCCCCCCACTTACCGGACAGTATTTGATCTGGTATTTATCAATAGGCTCTCCATTGTCGGCGGGCACGCCCCAGCGCAGCTCAAAATGATCGGAATAGGGCGACACGACCACCGGTTCCTCTTTGTCGTGCTGGACGGGATTATGCAGTGGCTTGGGCTCCTCGGGAGCCGATCGACGTGGTGTCGACTGCTGCTGATTGACGCCCCAATTTCCCAATCCCACCTGGTTGCGGGCGGCGAATCGGAAGCTGTACTCCGTCTGTGGTCGCAGTCCCTCAACAATGTACGGCGAATCGGGTGACCAGCTGCGGTTGTAGGCCGTTGACCAGTCCGGATTTAGGGCCTCCTTGTACTGCACACTGTACGCCAGTATGGGCAGGCCCAGTTCGGTTGATGGACCGCGAATTTCAAAGGTCATTGTGGTGGCGGTCAGTTGACTGGGCCGTGCTTCGGACACAAAATCAGGCACACGTGCCTCCTTCAGTTGCATATCATGCTCGGCGGTTCCATGGATGTTGGTCGCAATGCACTTGTATCCTGAGTAATACTGCCTCGTTACCGGATGCACAATCAAATCGCTGCGGGGTCCAGAGCCAACAATCTTCAAATTGGTGTCGTACAGATCCTTGATCTTGCGACCATTCCAGTGCCATTCGATTGTGGCATTCGGGATGCCCATGGCCAGGCAGCTGAGGTTCGCCTTGCGCTGCTCCCACGAGAAAACCGGCGGCAGATCCTTCATGTGGCTAAAGTCCGGAGCAAATTCAACGGTAATGTGTCCGGTCTTGTAGGCATCGGCTCCCTTGTTCCGGGCAATACACTGGTAAAGACCATCGTCGGAACGCTCGGCATTGGCGATGCGAAGGGTGCCGGTGCTCTCGCCGCGTTCCTCATCGAAATTTGGCTCCAAAATGATGCGGGGATCGTCATCCTGCTGCCCGTTTGTGTACTCCTCCTGGGTTCCCCAACGACGGAAGGTAATCGCCGGTGCCGGACGTCCCTTGGCACGGCAGGTTATGGCAATCTCCTTGGTCCTGGCCCCGGTCACATTGTACAACTCATAGATCTGGGGACGCACCAAAACATTCAGCTTGGTCTTCTGATCCACTACGCCGGCCTTATTCTTAGCCAAGCATGTGTATGTGCCGTAATCCTCCTGGCTAACGGAGCTAATGGTAACCAGGCCAGTTTGGGGATTCACTTGGAAGCGATCGGCGGTCGCCACGTTCAGTTGTGTGGCATCGCGAATCCAGCTAATCTCCGGAACTGGCTTGCCTGTGGCTGTGCAGTTGGCTGCAAAGGGTTTGCCCTCGACGGCCTCCAGATTGGTGGGCAGCGACACGATCACCGGCTGAATGAAGACCTCCACGCGAATGGTGCGTTCCAATAGCTCACCAGTTTCGATGACGGCCGCACGGCACGTGTAGATACCTTCGTCACTTTCCTGGACATTTCGGATGAGCAGGCCATTGGTCTGCACCACATACTTGTCGTTGGTCGTGCGGATCTGTATTGGTGTGATAAACCAGTCAGTTGTGAAAATAATCTATATTATTCAGTTCTACTTACCGGGTCTCCGTTGCGCAGCCAGTCAATTGTGGGATTCGGATCGGCTTTAACCTCGCACATTACCACATAGTCTTGGCCAAGAGTGGGGTACTGATTCTCCGGGGCATTTGTCCAGGTAATGGCCACTGCAAAAAGGGCAATATGTTATTTAGTTTGATGTTTTCTGGTTTTTATGAAATTAAACTGATTGCATCTATTTGTCTTTTCTGTTCTGTTGTTACTGATTTAAAAAACCATTGCTGGACAGTAAGACAATTGCCAACTGAACAAGGATACAAGGATTGCAGTCCTAAAGTCCTTAAGATGTGCAACAAACAAATTCCTGAGCTAGGTGTGCGCAAATTGTTTGATTTCGCTTCGCATTCATTTACACAGCACACAGACGTAGAACAAAGAACAAAGAACAAGAAAGGAGAGGCTCGGAAAAATGCAAGTCAAGCAGGAGACTATTTTTCTGGTCATGTTGACAATCCAAGCGGAGCTGTACGTGGCGAATACGTAATATAATTTTAAACAAACTGTCGGGCACATGGAAGCAATTCAAGCAATTCAAGCTTCAAGCGCAAAGTCCAAGACATGTGCGCGGCCTTCTCCTCCCCTTTTCCTAAGGGTCACTAACGAGCTGCAAAGAGGGGCAGATGGACGCCCCTCCTGGCTGCCAATAAATCTGCACTGGCGAGACGACTTGGAAATTGAAAAGGGGGAACGAGCAACAGAAAAAGTGTAACGTAGTGCCTTGCAAAAGTGAAATTCCTAGATCAAATACTTGCAAACACTGCGCCAAATGCCAGTAATAAAAGCAACAAGAAGCCGATAAACGGGGTCGTCCTCCTCAGAAAAGCGGGCTATGGAAGAGTATCAGGTGTTGGGAAATCAAAGCTCGGACTACCAACCAACTGCAACTCAAGGCGTGAAGCGGAAGAGTGCCTTAAATGTAGAAAATAGTCAAAAGGCCTGAGAGGCAAGTCAAAGGAAATCCCGGAGGTGAGTTACTGGTGCAGTTGTATTCGAAAAGGCAGAGGGAGGCGGGCAGGGAATTCAGTTGGTAGCCTAAAAATGGATAAAGCACTATAGATACCCATAAGCTCTTTTACTGCATTTACAATTTAATACTCGCAATCGATAGCTTTGCATTTGGGAATAGCACTGGGCCACGTTTTATTTATAAATCTACTTTCCGCAAAATACCCTAAATATCACATATCACTGTACAGATAATCCTCTGAAAATGCAACTTTGGGTATTTCAAATAACATGGTAATCAGAACATGAAATCTAGCTGTCAGTTGAATTCCATTTCATATTTTATATCCCAAATCTGGCTTCGGTTTTGCTTCTTTTCAGGAAAGAAGAACCCGTTTGTCAACGGCTTTCAGGTGGAAGTGGATCCCACAGCCCACTTCAATATGCCATCATATTTTGCATTTGAAAAGGCAATCTTGGCCAAAAAGCTGTTAACCATCATTGGCAGCCTTTCAGTTTCAGCATGTGTGTGGCTCAAATATTTACACTTTATTTATAAATCAGTGTAATAACAAGCCATCTATGTCTGTCGGCCGCCTGTCAAGCATCCATGTATATAGGACCGAGATCTATATATATTTATATATATATATTTGTATATCGCATGTCCGCCCAAAGCCAAAGCCAAAGCCAAAATAACGGAAAGTTGTGTTAAAAACATTTTCTATTTGCAGTTTTCATTGGCAGTGTCTGGCTCTGGATGTCCTGTATCCTTCTTCGCCCAGCCAGCTATTCGAGTTCCTTCCCTACTCCTTTTTTTGCACCCACACAACATATAAAATAAATAAAAACTGGCTGCTCCTGTCACTTCCCGCCGTTCCCCGGGATTTTTCCAGCATTTTTCCTGCCCCTACATCTGTCCCTGCCCATTTTATCCCCTTGCTCTTTTCTGTTTGGCTGCATTGTCGTAGCGTGTGAGATTTTGTTGTTCAAACACTTTTCGCTAGCTGCGTTCGTTTCTGACGTCTGATGGGCAGCCGGCACACACAGATATATATGTATATATATATACCGATTTATATATATCCAGCCAAGCGGAGAGGGAAAAAAGATGAACTAGTTTACGATTTCATTATTAGTTTGAACAAGGACAAGCCTGAATGCCGGAGCCCAGGAGTCCAGGAGTCCTGCCGTCTGGATCCTGAGCTTTCTTTGCCGGTGGTGCCGGTGGCGGCGAGCAACAAACACGACTCACAACTTATTGAAAAAGTTGCTGCAACAGCTTATTAAAAAAAGTACACAAAAAATAATGGATAAGGGAATGGAACCGAAAGGCGACCAACAGGGGAGTAGCAACTTGATTTGGGGCCTGTACCTGCAATAGGTTCAAATTACCGCTGACCAGGTCGAATCCGGTCCACAAAGTGATAATAAAATGAAACAGATTGCTGCACTTATGTGTACATAACATATTTCCAGCATGTTTAATGTTTCTTCAGGTCTGCATTTCCATGTTAAATTCCAGCAATATTGTTAAAGCCCAACGGTTGATACACAAATCTCAATTAATAGTAATGTTAATTTATCATTTTTGCCGGATAACTTAAGTCCTTGTCTGTTTTGTTACTGTGCGGCAGTAAGACGAGCACATCCGTTTAAGAATCTTTAAGTTACTGGCAATGCAAAAAGCTACATTGCACACCGAAAACAGGAACAAGATAATTGGTCAGCCAAGGCAGATAGATCAAAGAATATTTATTTGCCAAGTGCAAACTGTCTAATGCCTCCAATCAACATTATTAGTGGCAATTACATGGCCGAAAATGCAAAGGATGTCGACCATTATCGACTAGCAGATGGAGCCTGCGTATTTAAATTCAAATATGTATACCAGAATAAATATTGAATTAATGCACTGCCTTCATTCTTTGTGCTAATACGGTTTAATGCACCTAATTGTGAGCTACAAATAACAAATTGCACAAGATAGCTTAAAGTGCTCGAAAACGGAAGTAGATTCTATTCTGTTGCCATACCACCAATGTAGCTTGCGTCTGTTGATGCTGTTGCTTTTCTGGCGGAAGTTTGTTTTGAGCATATGCATTTATTAAAAGCATAAATATTGAAATATTAAGCTGTGACTGGCACAAACAACGGTATGTAAATATGCCATTCCCATTCCCCCCTCTGAATTCCCACTCATGTGTGCCATGTTTTCATACACTGAAAGCACAGCTCTGCTGCTTATCAGTTTGATACGTATTATAGGTTCGATGCCATACGGATCCAAATAACCTATGGAAGGTGAATAGAATTCACTCAAGAAACAGGGGTTATCAAAAATTTGAGCTGCTTAATCACATACTTGACTGTTTGATTGAACCATATTTGTTGTAGAACAGATGCACGAGTATATATTCTTCAGGACTCAGAGTTGCGGAGTTTCAGTGTAGCAAAAGTAAATCTTGCAATTTGCCTCCAGCTCTCCGGCTGTCTGTGTTGCAGTGTGTCTGCTTATTTGCTGAACTAAATGCAACTTGTGAGTTGTCAACACAATGCCAGTTACTTCTATAGATCCCCCCATATCCTGGCCACATCCTCGCCCAAACCCTTAAGTTGCTGCTCGCTGGTGTTGATAACTAACTGCTGTTGGGCTTTGTATTTGAATGCTGGCTGGCCAACCTGGACCATGGACGAACTCGTCCATGAGCAGGGGCTCTTAAGTCGGCTTAGCACGAACAGTCCGACCGCAGAGTTGGAGAGCTCTTTAAGCAGCACCTCTGGCTTGGCATTTGGCAGCGCTCGCGCTGACCAACACTGATGTCCTGGCATTTAGTCAACACTGACTGTGTGCAAATGCGAGACTGCAGCACTGCCCCATTGCAACACGCGTGTTTACCTGCCCCTCATTGTGACGATGGGAAAAGGAGATTCCATTCCGAGGCAGTCATTGCAAGTCAAACAGTTAGCCTGACATCGATCGAGAGTGGAGTGCTGCTAGCAGTCGTATTGCTTCCATGCGCTACAAATTCTGCTCCTCTAGTTCTGGAGTTCTGTGTGCCCATATCACCGGGCACAAATTGTTGCCCGGCAAAATATTTGATTTCATTTCAAACGCACCATCCTGGGCGGCCTCTCAATACGATTCGCCCACCCCCTATCCCAATAAAGGGCCGCAACGGTTGCAGTTGCACGGTTAGAAAAATGCCGGATGGCTTTGATTTAGGATGAAAGTACTTCAATATGGCTAAGTAGTTGCACTGGCCCGCAATTCCCAACAGTTTCCAGTTTGGAAAGTAACGCCAGCACTGAGCACTGATGTTGGACATGTTTGGTTTTACCCTAATGCAATTACCAAATCCAATTCATTCACTCATTTTTCCGGTGTACCTCTGTCGTGCTCCTGCAACAGTCCAGAAATTCTCACATATCACGAGAACGAGTATTGTTGCCCCACTACTTCTTTACCTCGGCCAGCTACACCCTTCCACCAAATGTGTTTGTGCATCCGACGCAAGTAGATAGGGACAGTTGGAGAAGGGGGGTTCCAGTTGTTAGCGCCCAGTGGTTTTTGCTCCGTGTGTGCAATGAGTACGAACTTTAAATTGCTTAGAAAAATCAATCTCGTAAAAGTTTTGAGCTGCAGCGTCACTTATGTGCACTCGACTGCAGGAAGGTGGAACTGGAGAAGGGTTCAGGGGCAAGCGCTTGCTGAAAGGGCATGGAAAGAGTTGCTAGAGAGTCAACGAGCCAGCAAAATGTGTGCAGGTGAATGGGTGTGCGGGTGTGTGTTTTTCTAGCTGCTTATTGAGGGACGTGTTCTGCTTTGTATTGTTGCTGTTTCGGTGTTCTTTTTTTTTCTTTGTGTGACTGATGAAAGTGGGAGGCAGCAGGGGCAGATCCTCGCCGATTGCTTTGCACTGGACGCATCCATTTTGTTTTAGATTCGCTTACAATGCTGCGCATGTAATGAAATCCCGGCAACTGTAATTTCTTACTGCCGTAACTCTGGGAACTCTGGCATTCTGGCTGGCGGCCGTCGGGCTCTCTGGCACTCTGGCACTCGAGCAATGTGCAGGGGACACAAATTGCTAACAAGATAAATGAATCATGCAGCAGAGGAATCACGTCGAGCTTTTCCGCTTTCAAATGGCGATTACTCACAGCATGCCGGACGACGAGGGGGAGTTCAGATGGTCCCTAATCGATGGCGACAACAAGTCAAGTATGCTCGGACATGTAATGACAAATTTCGGCCACCCAAACACAACTGTTCTAAGTTTGGAACCGTCCAGCAACCAAGCAACAAAGGCGACCTGGCCAGCCACAGATTTGCTCTTTTATTTGTGGCTTCAGGGCATATTTGTCAAGATCAAATCACATAAATACCACTCTCTGATCTAATCCAAAAAGACTGTTTGAATTTGAAACAGATAAGATAATGGAGTACGCTTACTCTCAATGCTTAAAGTGTACATTACCCCTCTGTTCCTTTTTCGCATAGTGCAAATACCAAAGTGATAATAATAAAAAAAAAATAAGCATCTCCATCTTTACATTTGAATGTAACAGAGTCATTTCCCACATTAGATATTCCACACACTTGCATGAAGGTCAGGATAAATAAACGCTCGAAAACAATTTGTGGCTCTGCCGCTGGAGTGTTATTACATTCTGGAACTGGGACTTACCGTAAGTTTTAATTGTGACGCCCTTCTCGAGGATCTCCGTATTTGCATAGGAGGCGGTGCAGTAGTACTTGCCGCCCATTTCCACCGAGAGCGACGTAATCATCAGGGCCAAACTTTCACCGGGCAGCGTTTCCGTGTACATCGGCGGCTGGTTGCGTCCATTCCTTTGCGGCGGGAAAGCGCGGAAAATGCCGGAAAAGCGAGCGTGGGAGGGGCGGAAGAGCGGGCAATGAAAGCGGGTTGAATGTGTATTAGTAACGGAATAATATGCATTTCATTTGTACGATTACGAGTATAGGAGTATGGGTGTCAGTAGTACACGGGTACTCGGTATAATTATTATTATTATTATTTTTATTACGATGTTTTATGCTTATGCTTATAACAATTACCGTTGCTGTTAGTAAATTCCCTGCTCCCTGCTCCCTGCTCATTTGCATGCCTCACCAAAATGTGTTACGCATTTTTCCCCCTGGCTGTTTCCTTTAAAAATATACGTATATTCGTATGTATGTGTATATGTATAGCGCATATTCTGCAAATTTGCACGGCAACTTGAATGGGAAATGTGAAAATTCTTTGGCTTTAACAGCAAGTGCGGTTCCTGCTTTTCAAAGGGGAGATGGAAAGCCAGCTTTTCCCCATGTTGTTCGGCCAAATCAAAGCTTTAATCTCATTTGACGTCACCAATTGCAAGTAAATATTCGGTATTTTGTGTGCAATTGATTCATTTAGTGTTCACTGTTTGGATTATAAAATATGTACATAGCTTAAATGCTAAACAAAAATTTAATAAATAAATTACCCCTAACAGTGCTGTGCGTGTTCAACCGATATGCTAATCAAACCTCGATTCAAATTCCATTTCCCCACCATTCGCTTTTCTTTTGCATTTGTAAGTGTGTGCAGTTTTCCGTGACTGCTTTCAGTTTTCTTCCTTTGAGTATTTGCGAATTAGCAGGAGTAAATCGCATAAGGCAAACAAATTACTTTGGCCCCTTTCGATTCCCCTCGAATATTACCAAAAACTCCAACTATTTTCAAACTGCTGGCCATTGTGCGACTCACGTACTAATTAATTAAAAAAGTTTTCTTCGTGGCGCAGAAACTAAATATGCATAGAGGCGGTTATAATTATTGTTACGACTTTGCCAAGCAGCAATGAAAGCAACAACTACATAGACCGAGGTACACAATGAGAAAAAAGGAATGGGCAAAGGCAAAAAGCTAGAACAAAGGTGAAGATGCATTTTGTCTTTTTTCTTTCAAGGGGAAATTGCAATATTTGGAAAAGCGGCAGTCATTGAAAGCCTGCTCCTTTTTTTCTGCGGTGGATTTCAATTTTTGACAGTCGCTCGTCTATTGTTTTTTTGCATCTTTTGTTTTTACGACTGTAATTGGTTTTATATATTGCATATTGCACATGTGTGCGAGTGTTTGTTTGCATTTCCCTGTTTGTGTGAGCTCAGGCACAACCTGCGTTCGATTTGCGATTCGCAATTGTTTGCAAAAATGCAAAAACAGAACAAATATTCCGGAAAGCGGAGAACGCTGCACGGTTTTCGGTTGCCACACACACAGCCGTGTTCGCAAAAATAGCATCTAGTGCCTTCTATGCCGATGCAAAATGTTTTCGTCGACTACAAATCCACACTTTCCGTTTGATACAAGCGCTGATGGCATTGAAATGAACCATTTTCAACACGTCCACAACATATAATAAGGGATTTTAAAAACTCAAATTGTATTGTATGGACACGGCGAGCCACTTGCAACTTGAACTGACTTGTGCGCATGGAAAGCCGTCACTGTCGAGCCCAAAATTATGCTAACCAAAGTTGTTGACGCAGAAAAAAATACGACGCCTCGCAGGAAAACCGCAGCAGTGAGTGGGTGGAAAATTTTTATTTTATTTTTTGATGGGGGTGTGTGCTGTGTGGAAGAGCGGATCTGAAGACATTGTGCAAAATTTCGCTGCATATTTGCGTTGGATTTTTAATATTGCGCCAAGCACCGGGCACATTGAAAAAAAACGAGGAAAAAAATAAAACGAGCATTGAAAAAGGAAAAAGAATGGGAAATAGGAAAGAATAGGGATGAGCAAACCGTTACGCATACGTAAAAATCACATTTTTTTGTTGATTGTCTCTCGGGAGAGTTGGCGCCTTGGGGACCCGCACCATATAGCAATTTCTACTTTTTATTGCATTTCTTTTGGCCCCTTAGATGCGAATAAAGATGTCGCTGCTTTTCCTGCTGTTGTTGCTGTTTTCGCTGTTATTGAATGCATGAATGAATGAAGTTCGCGGCGGAGTGGGCGGGTTTTCCAAGGATGTGTTCTTGGATGTGTTAAGAGACGGGTGCCGAAGTCATTTATCCATGTCTCCATTCCCATTTTCCTGGAAATGGGATCATCGTACAGTTTGAAATTTTCCCGTTCATCGCCGTAATTAGCCAACGGAGCTGACTGCATAGTGACTGCCATAGCTTTCCGCTGAGATGCACACAGATGCATTCTGTTGGCACCAGGCTTCCTGGAATTATGCCTGCCCCCTGCAAGACCCGTGCACCGAAAAGATGCTGACCAAAAATCAAAAATAGGAAGAAAAAAAAAGAAGAGGAAGCCAAACCCCCGGCAAAGGCCATGCCCAAAAATGAGAGCAATGCTCGGCCGCAGAACTATGTCGAACTTAATCGTTTTAATTAACTTGGCCCGAGTATAAACGGAACCATGGGTCCTACCATCCTCATCCGTTTTTGGGAGGCGGGTGGCAGAAAGAGGCCGGCTTGTCGGTTGGTTTTTGGCAGCTTAATTACATTTCGCGCCTGCAAGTATGCACTGCATAGCATGCGTAATATGGATGGGTGGGGGGTATGGACGCTGGTCGTTTGAAGGGGGGGCGTTGGACACGGTCCAGCCCCAAAAAACAAAACGCACCAACAAACTGGCCAGGAACAACAACATACTGGCCACAGAGTGGGGAGGAGGAGCCGCAAAACCAAACCAAACCAACACAATACAATCAGCAGTTGGCGGAGAGGTCAGGAAACTGGAGGAAGCGCGATGGAAAACGGGGTTGCGACCAGGCAAGAGGGGTTGTCCACTAGGCCAGAGTTGCCACAGCATCGTTTGCAATGAAAAACTGCATTCACTTTTGCGTGGATGGAATTGAAAAGCCGGCTATCCAGCCAGGGTTGCCGCAATCATAATTAAAACTGGCAATGCCAAAGCAGAAATGATGAATGAAATGGCCTAGAGTAATAGAGGAATTTGGAAAAAATCTATATATACAGGGAGCACGACAAAAGCGTACACCGAATTTAAGTTTTTACAATTGGGCATTGCTTAAAATCAATTGTACCAGCTTCTGGTGAAACTATGAAACCTTTTTGCAAGGGTATAAGAAAAAAATAAAAAAATTATAAATAATATAGAATGTGCGGGAAAAAAAGTCCCACCTAAACTGAACCCAAGCCGAAACACAAATTTCCACTCGCCTAAGTTTGAAGAGGAAACGGGGCTAATTGGCACGCAATGGTCGGGCGGAAAATGTCCCGCCCGGCAAAAGCCCCTTGAACCCTTTCACGGATTTAAACGGGGGTCAGGTGTGAAACACTCTCGAGGGACCAAGAGTTCTTTTCTTTTTATTTTCCGTGTTATTCTCTGGATTTCCCACTCTGGTCAGTCTGCAGGCAAATTAATTAACACGATTTCGCTTTTCACACGCACACACAGCCACTGCCACACACACACACACACACACAAAACTGGGAGTTGAGATTTCGATCTGAATATTTGACCTAAGAATTTCCATTCGAATTTGCCTTTCACATTCCCTTGCGCGTTTTTCTGCAGCATTTTCTTTTTCCTTTATTGCAATTTCGTCCTTTTTTGTTGTCAAGGAAAGGATTTCACTTGATTTCGCAGAGGAGAACTTTTGTTTAATTTCATTTTGTGTACGAAAACTTCGTTGGCTTTTCATTTACCTGCTCATGAAATTTGCTTTTAATTTATCTTGCATTTTTATGGAACGACAAGATGATGAATATAAATAGGGTCAAGAGAAAGCTCTAAAAAGTTTGACAAATTAAGAATATGTAATTACTTGCAGCACCCTTTAGTTGTTCATGCTTGCTAAAATTCTCAAACTCTCTCATTCAGCATAAACCTATGTAGTCCGAAATCATTTTTGGTAGTGATAAAAAACCGACCCTAAACGTTTCCTTTTTGCTTCCGGCACACCAATAATTTAAAAATGAAGGCTCGAGATGAAGAATTGTTAGTACAACAACTAATAGGGATATTGCATGAGGAAATGGGCGTGTGTGTGAGTGCTTTTGTGTCAATGTCGAATGGAAAATGGAAATGCCAAATGCCAAATGCTACTCTTAGGTTAGGTCCTTGAAAAAAATGGGCCTGGGCAAAATGCAGCGAGGTGAGTTAACAACAATCAAGAACAAATCAAACAATTAATCATGCCAAAAACAACCACAATAAGAGGGCTGGGAAGGGGGAGGGTCAGAGGCAAAGCTAAAAGTCTAGAACTTTGGTGTTTCAGTCGCAGTCGATTTACCAGAAAATAGCGCAAGTGGCCGTCAAAATTACCAGCTACTTAACAATGTCCTTGTTGCAGTCGGTTGGAGTCCATTGGGACTTTAAAAAGTTTCGTGGGAAGTTGTTGTCAGGGGATTTTCCAAATTGTGTTGCTTGATCTTTTGATGACAATGTCACAAGGAAACGTAACGTATCTTTTTAGGTTACCGATAAACGCGATTGTTAAAGTTTCGATTAACTAGCGGTTACTGTCTCAGTTTCCGTCGCAGTTGTCCGTTTCTAATACTTGTTGCTGTTGCATTTACTGTTGCAGTTGCAGTTGCAGTTGCAGTTAAATTACTGGTTACTGTAGTATACTCTTGCAGTTGCTGTTACTGATTTACTGTTGTGTTTTTTTTTTGTTTTTGTTTTTAATATAGACGTTCGCGTCACTTACTCTTTCTTTCTATTGCCCTTGGAATCATACAGTGGATCGTAATTCCTACAATACGATATACGATACAGAAGTGAGTGTTGTGGTGTATTTTCATTGGTATGTGTTGCGTGTTCATTTATGTGTGTTCACGGAAATGTCACCGATAACCGGAGGTTAGGATAGAGCCCTGGGGGTCATTATATTCAATACTTACGGCTTGGGCAGAATGGTGTTGTTCCGGTTGTCCTTCCATTGCAGATCGGCGACCAGGGACTGCTCGGGAACTGTGGGTCGGCAGGTGAGGATCAGGGGTTTGCCCACTGGCTTGCGCTGGACTTCTTGTTTGGGATAAATCTCCAGGATGGGAGACTGCGCACGGGTCAGATCTGAAAAATGAATGCAAATAAAGTGGGTAATTAGCAAGGTTGCACTCAGAGAAAAGCATTGGAAGTTTGCACAGAAAGAGTAATAACTTCTATAATGCTCTTCAATATATTTAAGATATTTAATACCGAAGATGTGTCGCAACAAATGAACACGATTATTTGAAAGCTAGGATAGAAAACATAGACGAACTCATCTGAAATGGCGTTTTCCTTCTGATTGAGTGCTGCGGTCATCGGTCATCGGTCTTTGTTTTAATTTTATCTGCTCTTTTTCCGTGTGACTCATTTGCACAGGCGAGTAAATTTTAAATTAATTTTAATTGCCTTTGCTGTGGACGCCCACAAAGGGCGCCCTTTTGGGGCGGGAGGTGGGAGTATGTGCCAGCTGGGACCTTTGTAATTTTCACCCCACTGATTATGCACGAATATTGGCGGAGTGTGTGGGTGCCTCAATTAAATGAAATTATTCCAGCGAAATTCCAAGTGAAATAGAATCGGCATTTTATAGAAATGTGATAGAAATTAGGAGAACGCACTTGGCATTGGAGTTATTTCATCGAGAATTTAATAAAACTGCATGCAGCATTTTCCGGTGGAAAATTGTAAAATGAAATTTTATTAATGGTGGTCATTTGCAAATCGTTATTTCATCAGGACTTATGCCATTCAAATGCGCGTCAATGAATGCCAGAAACACGTTCATTTAAAATGTTCAAATTCAATTTGAAAACTAAAACTGTGTCGATGTAAGTGAAAATAATAAAGTAATATAAAACTTGTCCCAAACGGAAGCTCAATTAAAAATGTGCGCAGCACTTATTGAAATTTATTGTGAGTTTCTGTTTAAAACTTTATTTAATATTGCCATTAAAGCCATTTAAATTATTGTTGTTATTATATTCTGTCCATGAATGCTTATTGGTTGCTTTCATGTGAAGCCTGTTAACATTTTAACGACAACTTGTCCGTTGATTGCGTTTTATGTGAAATAATGTAACAATTAAAAATCATTATTTTCCTCTTTTGAAAATGTGGTCGAGTGTATGAGCGAGATATGGATGAGAACATAAAACGTTTGACGTTTGGTTTAATATTATTATTATTAATAAATACCAGTCGCGCTAAGAACTTAAAAAATAAAGCTCATAGTTGAGCTTCCTTCCCGAACTCCAGCCCTTCTTCCACCAATGTCAAGTGCATCTGTTTTATCCTCGCAAAGTACTCCATATCCTTTACTTATATAGGCTAGTTACCCATTTTCTGGGTAACAATTCCCAGCTGCTCTTTTTGCTGTCCCTTTGAAACTTGCTCCATGGCGACTAAAAGTTGGCCATTGTTCATCTAGCTAATTACCGACAATTAAACGCTCATGGAACCCTTTGTTACGAGGTCGTGGGCTGCTATATGGATAGAGGAGCTGCAGATCCTTGGGTGCCAAGGACTAACCAGACTATCCGAAAGGCAAGAAGTTCCAATGTTTTTGTCTTACAGTTTCATTTTCATTTTCATTTTCGCCCTCGTGCCCATTACAATTAAAAGCCTTTCTGGCCATTTTCTTTGACATTTTATTGGACAGTCTCAGTTGACTTGGCAGAATGGCATTTTCGGGTGGCTGGCTGGTGGCGGAATGGAGCCAAGGATAACTGCTTAGCCTTTTGGCCAAGTTCAAGTTGTGCCTGCTGCCTAATAGCCAAGTGTCTGCACATTCGTTGGCCAACTTAATGTGTGTGGTCAAGATTAAAGTGCCGCAGAGGCACAAAAAAATATAAAGTGAGCGTATTCAGTGGGGTTGTGGGGGCTGTGTACCCTCCACTAGCAGTGGCAGCTGTGATCAGTCCGTTTTTTTTCCTTCTTTTTGTCAAGCCGCAAGTGGCGCACACAGTCGAGTGCATAAATAATTTAATGTAAACGAATCCGCGCTCAGGGGTGTGGGTGCAAAAGGGGTGAAGGGGTGATGCGGCAAGGAGGGGGCATGCAACAGAGTGCATTAAACTGCCCCCCAGCTACTCCGCTTTTTGTTGCTGCCCCAACGCCCGTGTCTCCGTTTCCATCTGCAGCTCGGGCGAAATTAAATATGAGAAATTTATGCGACGCTGCCTTTTTGCATTGCAATTAATGCAAGGCAACAAAATGGCGCCACCAACTATCCCGGCAACAAAAACAAAGAAAAGCGCCGCAAAAAAACACAAATAAAAAGTGAATAATAATGAAAAGCTGAGGGCGAGTGAAAAACTCGAACCAACTTGGGGAATGAAACTATCAAATGCTCTTTTTTTGTATCCCTTTCCCGGCGAAATACTCATTTAAAATAGAGTTACTCATTAAGCTAAAATTGCTATTCATTCACAGGGAAAAAACTCTACTTCAAATATATAGAGTTGTTTTTCTTCAAAGGGTATCGCGCATGCACTGTTAGAAATGTGTAGGAATATGCGGCGTTATTTTGAGTCAGTTTCAGTATTTTTCCTGCGTGCATGCTAATATTTGTTCACGTATTTTTTAATTTGTAAATAGTTTTGTTTGACTAATGGATACTTTTTTGAATACATTGTTGTGTTTTGTAAGGCGAAATGGAGTGTGTTGATAGCGATTAATGGATTTACTTGTTTATTGATGTTTTTATTTAACACCAATAAATGTGGGTTCAGTTTGGCTAGATGCTACCGAAAGCGCATTGATAGTTCAAACATCCATTTATCCTCTTAATGCATTTTTTAAACGTTTAAATCTGATTGTCTATAGCGGTTATTTTAATGCCACTATTTATTACATTTTAACAGCTTCATCAAAGCCCCCTTTAAGTTCTGGCACCCATTCACCATATTTTTGAGGCTCTTTGTGGAGGGCAGGGCATTTCCTTTGGGACTCGGGCTATGCTTAATTTATATTTATTTTATTTTAAATGTATGCTGCATAAATAAAGGCGCAGGCTCACACATACGAATGCACATTATCTTTCTACCTCTTTGAGCCCCCGACTTTTCCCGCTTTCCCCGCTTTTCCCGCTCTCCCGATTTTCCCTGGTGAATGCGTGTTGCTTTTCCGGCGCCGCATAAATAAACAAGCGGTTAAGAATTATCGCGAGGCTCTGGGGAAAGCGGCGAGCGAGTGAGAGGGACCGATGTGAGCCGGAAAGAGATAGGGCACAGTGTGGGCGTGGCAGCTCCTGGACAATGCGCCCACTTCTCGAGCAATTAATTCATTTCGCCTGGCCAGAGAATATTGTTGAAAAACAATTAAAAATTGCACAATAAAATGGGCAAATTAACACACACACACACACGCACACGAGAGCATTCCATATACGTATTTGTAATGGCTTTAAGTCTTGAATTCATTTTTATTACCCCACTTTTTGTAGCTGTTTTAGTTTTTTTTTATTACTTTGGCCGCGCAAAAGTTAAAATTAATATTTGTTTGCTTGAAAGTTTCTGGCCCTTTTTTTGGCCAGCAGAAAATTTTGATTTATGTAATCCCCCTTTCTCCTGGGAAAAGTTAGTTTTCTGAATTATGGCTGCAAAATAGTGGCCATCTCCGTCTCGCTTGCACCTAAATATTGTCCAGCCTTCGGTTGTACCATGCCACAACCCACATGCCACGCCCCCCCTTCACCTTCTGGCCAGAGGCGTGCTCAAGTGGCGCCGACCTGAACCCAGCTCCAAAAATAGCATCTATTGGTTGGTTATCGAGAGCAGCCTAAATTTACACAAGCCACTCGAAAAAAAAGCGTGATCAAAGGAAACTCGCGACGGGGTGTTTGCTGATGGCATAGTGATTATTGCAGGAAAAGTGGAATCCTTTTTGATAATTAGCCCTGGGGCTGGGGGCTGGGGGCTGGGGGCTGTCTAGTATGGGGGGCTGTCTAGTATGCATTTCAAATCACCTGAGAGGCAAGCTTTCATAATTTCCAAGCTATTTTCCCCTCCAAGAGTTATGAATTAAGATATTCCAGCTGTTGTGCTTAGCGCGTGAGCGCCGCACATTAGACGCCGTTTCGGGCGATTCAAGGACGAATTTATTTGCACAGTAAACATTAAAGGGCGCCAGGAAGCCGCCAACCGCCAACCGCCAACCGCCAACCGCCAACCAGCCCCACTGGGGCTCCTCTTCGTTTTGGCCGCAAACATGTTTGGCATATGTGATGGCGTTTCCTTTAGGCATGCATGCGTGCCACCAAACGATTGCAGACATCCTCGACATCCCAGTGTGTTTTATTTGCACTCGTTATAATATTTCCACGTTATGTTTGCGCTCCTTTCTCGCTTTTCTTTTTGTTCTCTTGCTGCTTTTGCTCTTGCTCAGACATGTTGCATACTTTTGTGCGCGCCGGCGACAGGAAACTGGAGCAGCCGCCTCAAGTGGTCGTCGATGATGGCACCCCCCACAGACGCCAGCTGAAAATCCAGCATGCGTTTGGATTTTTTCGGCATGTGTATGCCTTTTGAATTTTTAAATAGGCCACAGAGAGGACAGGGGGCACGAGGCAGCGGCATTGACAGTCGGGCTTCGTTTTGAATACCCATTGGGGCGGCTACGCTCTGGGATTGTATGGGCTCAGCTCCCAGTTTGGAATACCAATAATATAGCAGATTAAAAAATACGATATGGCCTTTCTTTGGGAGTTGCACAGGTCCGCTTACTAACTCGAACTTGGGTCTGCTCAAAGCTTGCCAATGGGTATCACTCTCGTCAGAATCCTCAGCTGCGACCCCCTCTTTAGTTTTGGGGCCATCCTTTGGGTTCCTCTGATTTGACTTAAACTCTCTTTTCGTGCGCACTTCAGCCAAACTCAAGTGGGGCTTTCAAATGGCAAAGTGATGCGAGGGGCGGCACTATGACGATTGTCGCCGTCTGTGGCTGCACGGTAATTGCTGCCATTTGCACGCCTCGGATCTTGCCATATTCTATTCTATTCTATTCTCTAACTGTCGAATTGGAGCCGCAACAAATGCGCCAAATGTGTGCGTGCATCTATTAACCAACAAACATTTGTGTCTGTG